CCAGGAGAAAGCCATATGCACAACGGCAGTTCTCGTGTCTTATAGGGGCCACGCACAGGGGACAGTCCTTACACTCGACAACTGCACAAGGACTGGGGTGAGCCGTGCTCTCTCCCCAAACTAGCATTTTGTCTATTTTCGTCTGACTAGCAGAGTCAGCACTTTAGGAATGCCTACGTAATAGTTATATTTGTCTGATCCCTTGAGGCTATGTCCGCAACCTTAATCCACCTACTTAAATTTGACACAAGTTGACAGGTCTTTGTGACAAAAAGCATTAAGTGACCATCCTCGTGCTCTTTGACATATGAAAGTCACTTTAATATGCTGCTGTTACACAGACAGATATCATACCTGTATCCATGATGATGCAGCTATAGTCCTGGTTTCCCTTTCAGGCAAATGGGAGTAAGCCCTCTGGTCAGACTGGGTGAGATCCTGAATCCTTTGGCTGTTCAGACCAGAGTCTTTGCTGGTTTGTAACCAACCTATATCTAACTGCAGGGAGAAATTAGTGCAGGAGACTTTCCTCCTCCCTCTTGTTAATGTTCCAGCCCGGTGACGGTGAAATGCTATCTTTAGACTTTGTGCAAGCCCTGATTTAATGATCAAGGTCATTTCCTTCACCTAAGGAAAAAAAAAACAAAAACAAAACACTATTCATTTTCCAATATCACTGAGAGTTCCTAAGCCTACCCAAAACAAACCTGGTCATGAGTACTGAGTCGCAAGATGAGAAGGGTTATCCAGCCAAACCTCTCTCCCAGTATGCCTGGTGATAACCTGTAGTTCTCGAATGGTCTGAACTGCAAGTCTCCAGAATACTTTGCTCCCAGCACATTAGTAGAGTAGGACCTGGAGACTGTTTTAAAACTGTCAGCATGCCTTGTTATGTTTACACTCCAATGTGAAAAGTAATATATATGATGTCAGGGAGTTTCTATGCTTGTTGCTGTCACAGAAGCCAGTAGAAGTGGGAATTTAGAGCCCTTCAAAACTGGCCACTACACATAAGGACCCTGCCAGTTCCCTGCCAAAGCTTCTTGTGGTTATTGCAGGTTGGATGTCAGTGCAGCCAGACCTAAAATGGAATTGAAATGTTAAATAATGATGGTCCCAATTTAACATGGTTCTTAAGCATTTCCATAACTTTAGCACATGGATAATCTCATGGAACTTTTTAAAGCTTAGTTATCTATATGCATAGCAAGAGGTTTTAAGTCTTATTTTATCTGAAAAACTGAACATAGTAAATGTGGGACAGTGATGGAAAATTGTTGGTAATGGGTCAAATTGCATCTCCTGCTGATTTTCAAGAGTGTATGTGTGCATGTATAATTATAAATCACAAATAAAAATGTCTTGGCTCTAAGTGCTCATATCCTATGTCAAACTGGATTCTGAATGCATCTCATGACATGGCTGAGGCATGAAAGCATTTCTGGAGATGTTATCTAAGTGACAGTTGTGCTTTCACTTTATTTGCTAACTACACTTCTTAATATACTATCTTTTCTGAGTAGCCATGTAGAAAGGACTGCTAAGTTAATTCCTTTTCTTGCTGTAGAATTATATATAGCCAGCTGCTTTACATGTTTCACAACCAATGAATAACCCAAGGTCTGTGTTTAGCATGACACAACCCACTGAAATGCAACATTCTTGGCTGCTTAAATAAAGAACTGCAAGGAAGAGACCATTACCTTTTGTCTTAGAAACTGTGAGGCAGAAGTTAACTTTAGTTGCTTAGTAGAAGGCCCAGTTGACATTATGGTATCAATCCCGTGGTAACTGGACCTTCAACAGCCTCTTTCCCCTGTAGCATCGTTAGCAAAAGAAGCATCGTTACAACCCAGTGAAGAACACTTCTTCTCCCAAGGGGGCCAAGGAGTGCAAGCTGGAGGCAACACTTTCTCCACCGCCAGCCCCCCTGACAATGCCTCGACAGAGCACCATATTAGGCAATGGGGCTATCAGGAATGGCATCTGGGGACTCCAGTGAGCATGCCTCCTAGGGAAGGAGCACAACCGTAAGCTGCTGGTTGAGTGCACAGAGCCCTTTCCTGGCTGACAAGCCTGTTGCAGAGGTCAGCCAGAGAGGGCTATCATTCTTTGGGGAGGTGGAAACTACTCGGTGCTATTAATGGGTTTTTTCCTGGCTGTCCTCAGGAATGGAACTGTAAGCCAAGCATGACCATGAAAGGGGTCGCACATGGCCACAAGATTATGTTGAAGTATCTCCCATGTCTCTGCCACCCCCAGTGCCTGGAACTCTCCCCCTTCCTTTTTTCCTCTCACACCATACTGCAGGTCTCTCCCCTGAGCTTAGTTCTTGCCTCAGTTTTCCTAGCAATAGCCCAAACAGCCTTGAATTATGGTTTAGGAAAGAAACCACCGACTTCTTGGTCTGGCTTCCATCATCATCCCATCACAGAATTGCAGAATAGCTGAGGTTGGAAAGGACCTCTGCAGATTGTCTAGTCCAACCTCCCTGCTAGGAACAGGGTCAACTAGAGTAGGTTGCCCATGACATTGCTCATGTTTTGAATATCCCCTTGTATGTCTGCATGTATGAGATGAAGTTTAGACTATAATAATAGTGGTTCAGGTCTGGTCTGTGCTGTAGATTTTGGCTAACATCTGTGCCTACTGCTAGGTAAGACAGAAATGCAAATTTGTGTGTTTTCTGACCAACACCACTGTGTGATGAAGCCATGAAATACCTTTCAAAATAAAAGAAAAACTCAAGGCAAGTCCCTCAAAAGGCTCATAACCCTTTCATCTGAGCCTGGAAAGTGCTTAGTTTGGTGAGATATTTTGTTTATAAATTTGTGGCTCTTGCTGGTGAGCTAGGGAGAATTTTCTAATTCATTGTTTGTAAGAATACTCCCTGTTTCTAGCTATTAAATTTCAAAAAGACAGGTATACAGTCAATAATTTTCTGCTATTACTTTTCCATGCAAGAAATAGACTTCCATGCCACAGAGATGTTATTTTATTCTCTGTGGAAGCAGTGAGAAATGTGATGGTAGTAAAGCGGATATGTTCCAAGACGTACTTTTTGTCGTGAAATTTTCATATTTTCATATGAAAAATTTTCCTATTTTCTTAGGCCACAAAGCAAAACTTAGTATGTTTGTAATTACACCAGAAAAAACAAATTGCTATGAACCTAAGTAAAGCTGTTTTATTATTATCAGACTCTGTGTCTGTTGGCCGTTAATATACATTGTCCCTTTTATTCCGTGTGATGGGTGCTGTGACCAGAAGTACAGCACTGAGCTCTTTCCCTGTAGTGAGGGATTCTCTTTGAACCCTCTACAAAGATTTGCTATAGCATCTGCCTATGTGGCTGGAAGTTCCTAAACCATATCAAATTCACACACTCAGCTTAAAATTATATTTGTACTAAAAGTATTCCTCCCTTTTAAACATTAAATGGATTTATTAAGAATGAGAAGTATGTTTTAGTTATATTTAGACCTGAGTGCAAAGGAATAGGCTTACCAGCATTTCTGTGTGACAGAAATTGAAACTTTATTTCCTGAATATGACCTGAGACGAGGTCCCAAAGGTTAATGCCCATAACATGACAAAGGTTAGTAAGAGCCATCTACTGTTACAGTTAAGGATTTCAACCTTTTAAATCTTTGCTTGTTGCAAGTAGTTGAACTATAAGTCAATGCACTATCTCCAATAAATATTGCTATTTTCAACCAGTCTAGAGTCCTAAGGCTTTTACAGGTTGAAAATAAGCTTCCTTTAATATTTTAAAAATAAATTTTATCTAGTTAATTTGTTCTTATGTTTTCAGATCAGAGAACATGTCATCCCAAAAGGATAACATTTAAACAGGATAAAAAGCCTGGTTTCTGTATCACACATCTGAAGGGGAAGTGATTTAGATTAAAAACCATGACTGAAAGAAAGAAAAAACAAACATAGTGTAGGTCCTACGCATTGCAGCCAAGCTGAATGGCTTGGCTTACTTACTTGGCTTTTACTTTCTGCTTGCACTGAACACTGAACTCTAGATCTAATGGTGTAGTGAAAATGAGATAAAGGTCTCTGGATTCTCTGTGCATGATTCTCCTCAATTAATGGATCCATTACACTTCACGATTAAAGTCATATCAGATACTATTCCAGTTGATGGAAAGATTTCTTAAACATAGGATATCATCTGACAGAAGCATATTGATGTGGTAAGTTATACATTTAAGCATAGGTTCAAGACCAATTGACTTAAACAATTCAAACCCAAACTTGAAATTCAACTTGGATTCCATGATATTCCAGAACTGTCCTAAACTGGAATTGCCAAAAGGTCCCAAAATGTATTGGGGCCCACCTATATAAATTAATATGAATACATGCAGGTAGATGACCTGCGTGTCAGGGATAGACCTTATTGTGCTCTACAACTACCTGAAAGGAGGTTGTAGCGAGGTGGGTGTTGGTCTCTTCTCCCAAGTAACAAGCGATAGGACGAGAGGAAATGGCCTCAAGTTGCGCCAGGGGAGGTTTAGATTGGATATTAGGAAAAATTTCTTCACCGAAAGGGTTGCCAAGCATTGGAACAGGCTGCCCAGGGAAGTGGTTGAGTCACCGTCCCTGGAGGCATTTAAAAGATGTATAGATGTGGTGCTTAGGGACGTGGATTAGTGGTGGACTTGGCAGTGCTAGGCTAACGGTTGGACTCGATGATCTCAAAGGTCTTTTCCAACCTAAATGATTCTCTGATTCTGTGAGTATTATATCTCTACAGACTGAACAAGTTCAGTACCCCCTCTTCACAGAGCATAAGCTTTAGGCCTTGGACCATGTCACTCTGAAGATGTCATGTGTTGTATGTGTAAAAGCAAAAAAACCTTGAGAACTGCATTAAAATATTAAATGAACTCAAAATGTGTCCAAATTCAACAAGCATATACCAAATGTGTGAAAAATATTTGCTTTTACTTGAACCTCAATACCTGTCTTCTTTCCTCATTTTTCAGAGACTGAAACTGAAAGTGCACCACCACCTCCAGGTTAGTGTAGAAAATGCTAATTTGCACTGTAACACTAACAGCAGTTGCATGAGACTAGATACTGCATAGCCATAATATGAATTGTGTTCATTGTCCCTTTGAAAGTGAGAGGACAGTAAGAAAAGTAAGAAATCCTGTCGAATAAGATATTCTCACTTTGCTTTGCCTGAATGTTGATTTTTCAGACTCAATTTTTGTTTGCGAGAGACTTGTTGTTTGCGTAATGATGCAAATGTCCTTCAGGATACAGGAAAATGATGACTGCTTAAATTCTGTAGCTAAATTATGCTGTCTTCTTTGATGCTAAACAGCATCTATTTACCAAAATATTCCCTTTCATTTTTCCTCGAAGGTACACGTGAGCAAGGTTGACAGAATCAAGCATGGGATTCATTTCACCTAATTTTAGCCATCTGAGGATTAGGTATCTTGTCTAAATTGTTCAACAGTGCTCCACCTATAACCAATGGAGCAGATCCTGGGTCATAGATGCTCATCCAATGGGCATTTCCTGGATAACCTATCCAAAATGTCACTGGATGTCTACGTATAGGCAATTGCTCTGAGGAGTCTGGTTGTCTAGATTGGAGTGGGTGAACAACTTCCAGGAAGCTAAAGTTAGGTGAGATGAAACTCATTCATAAGGACTAGGGCTTCAGGTAAAGCTGAAGCTCTGTGCAAAGCTGCTACATTTTCTTTAGTGGGAGCTGGAAAGGTAGGCAAGCCTTTGCCTTGTGGGTTTGATTTGCATTGAGTAACTTGAGTTATATTCTCAGATGCTGGTTAATACATATATACATTATGGATGTCTAATTTAACCATTTGGTGAGTTTTATTCTCTGTATAGCTACCTGAACAGCAATACCAAACAGAATAAATACACTCCAGGTGTTAAACCTGCATTTACTTACAGTCTTGCAAACTGGCATTTTACAAGGCTGATTCAAGACATTTTTGTTTAAATGATACACTCTTTCATTAAAAAATGACAAAGTCTGGCGGTAGTAGTATCATTTGCCGCAAGGAGTTTCATGTTCAAATAACCCATATATTATTTTTATGTTAGGATGAACTCTTTCATATTGCATATATTTGTAAGGAAAATTAATTGATATTTCATTTATGATGGCTGTATTTTACCCAACCATAAAATCTGTACAGTTGATATTAAAGTAATTAATTTCAAAATATTCAGAGGTTCTTATCTGATATACTTTGTACTTGAATTCATGTTCTTCATCAATCTTAACTTTTAAGTAGAACTGAAATGAGAAACTGCTTTTTGTAGACAGAATGAATAACATCTTTGAAGCATTTTATTAAAAACATCTATTAACGTTTTCAAATAAATAACATCTTCTTCACTTCTATTTAAATACACATGATTAAATATGAAATGACTCCTATAACTCCCTTCCTTTTCCCCATACCTATACTTCTTCTGTAAAACAAGTAGGGTGTCAGTAGGCCTTTATGGTTAGGCACAGACCAAACCGGGATATTTCTAAGCTGGAAGTGCCAGTCACTTCTCCTAGCTTCCTTCTGCCTGACTCAAGACGCTGTCATCTTGGATTACCAAGTGCTGTCACATAAAGAGGGAAGTTGGTTTTTCAAGAACCCAAATGCTATAACATATAAATAGTTTATTGGACATAATCAGCATCTTGAACTACAGAAGGAAATTTTTGGGAAGCCATTGTAAGACCTCCTTCTAGATCTCAATGTGAAGCCACCACGTTGGTATACTTAGCTCTGATGAGGTTTTCAAATGGGATTTAGACATGCTACCACCTGCCAAGAACAGTGAATTCTCCTAATCGCAGTTCCTAGAGGGAAAGGAAAGTGTTACTGTAGCAAAATTCCCATTAAAAAGGAACAGGTTTGACCATCTGGCCAAGATGGACAACTGGACAACTGGAGCTTGGAAATTTAGGGAATCCAGACAGAAGCGTCTAGGAGTCTGTCACGCTTCCAGAATATGGACTTGTCTTCCAAATTTCAAGTTTTATTTTCATAGTTACCATGGCTATGCACATGTGAACAAGAAATCAGGATAATCACATCAACTGGCTCTTGCAGATGTGTCCTCCATGGCACAAAAGTTATCTTAGCTCTGTCTTGACAATGTTAGTCCATTGACCTTCATCCAAATCCATGTTCTATCAGGCAGCTGACAGGTAAGTTTGCCACAGAAAGTCATTGTTCACAGGCAATAAAATATTGAGTGTTTACACCTTGAAGACAGCACAATTCATATGATTTGACAAGTCTTTAAATGGTCTTGTGTGCAAATTGAATGAGATATTATTATTTTTTTATATTTGTCAATTAATATTTGTCAGTATCTCATGTCTGATCCAATTCCATTCAAATTAACAAAGATATGTAACTCATTTCAAAGGCTTTTGTAAATAAGCCCAAGAACAAGAGACTAACAATCGCTACTTCTGAAAAAAACAGTATTTTTCTTCCACTGAGTACAGGAACATCAATCTTATATGACTCGTTCAAAACATAGAAAATGCATTGATATGCACAGAGTTGTAAAATGCTTTATGGGTTTACAACTGTATATTACATATACACGTATATAAATAATTTTTCAATTTTGGTTTTTCAATGCTAGCAGAACCTAGAATATTGCTCTATTTCTTAATGCTGTGTAAGTTTTTCTTTTTACTTTAAGATCCTCTCAAAACTATACTTGTACTTCCTACACAGAACAAAAAACACCGCAGGAGGGTGGAACTGGAAAGGGTAAAGGTGAGTCTGAAATCATATTTAAAAAATGGGCAGTAAAGACAACATTCCTAAATGCTGTTCTGATGCTGGACTGCTTGAGCTTTAATTCAGAATTTTGGTGCCAAATTTCAGAAGTGTGATGTGAAGCTTCCTGGATCCTTTTTCTGCATGACTTATCCAGCACAAGGAAATGATGATACTTATGAGTATCTTCAAAAATTCTGCAAACAAGACTGACACTTTAGCAACAGTATTTATATAGACTGTTTAATTAATAGATCAGATTTCAAGTGATTTGCATGAGCAGAAAGCCATGTTTAAGTGAGCCTGGATGTTGACACTGACCAAGCTTGCTAAAACTCAGATACTATGCACATTGGTAGCTTTTAAATAAAGCAGACTATCTCCTACTGTCATTCTAAGCTGTTTCTATTCTACCACAGAAACTTGATATTGCATGTTTTACCTTTCAGCAAAGTCCAATAGATTTTTTCATCTGAAAAAAGAAATCACACGTTTGTCTTTCTGTCCTCATTGGGAGCCCAGCAGTTGAGCTCATTACAAGTTCTGAAAAATGTCTTTGAGGACTGTCTGCTGTGAACAAACACATAACTGTTCCACTAGCAATGCATGTAAAAATCAGCTCCATTTTTAATATATATTTTTGTGCTGCTGAGATTAGACTCCAGCTTCGTTGGCAATTATTCTGGTTATGAAGATACATTTTGAGGGAACTGGGCCAAATTCTGCTCCTTTTTGTACTCCCTGCCAAAGTAGAATTCAAACAGCTCATCAACTTATTTTGAAATGAATAATCTTTTTATTTCTTCATTCTGATAAAAGGTTAAACCAGACCAAAATATACTTGCAACTGATGTAATGCTTGCTTTTCATTTGGCACGGTTATGTTTTTTCATGGCGAATCAAGAAATGGCTTGCTTGAAAATGTATTCTGGTTTTTGGTCTCTTCCAGACAAAATCTTGCCTTTTAGACAGACTGGATGCATACTTGATACTTGTAGATTTACTTGGCAAAGGCATGCATGGCTATTTTTCTCAGCAAAGACAAAATATAAACACTGAGAGTGTGTGACTCAAGTACCCTTTTGAAAATAAAAATGCTGAACCAGGATTCAGTGCATGTTATTTTGCCAGCTATCTTTGCATTGAGCAATTATTTTGACACACAAAATTTCGTGTGAGTAATCAAATCTGTCATCTTAGTAATGGAAACACAATTCAGGAATAATTTGCATGCCTAATGATAGGAAAAAAGATGAAGGTCTTGCCTCAAGCTATTCCAGCAGTTAGTTCTGCTTGCTTTAATTTTGATATGAGAGAAATGTTTGTTCCCAAACTGAACATGAATGGTGTTTTCCCCACTGCTTTCAAGTCTGCATTTTACTGAATAAAAAAGAAAACATGGTAGGTATCTTATCGAATACTTTTATTATCTTTTTATACATTATTATGTTTCTGTTTTGAATTTAGCGAAGAACACGGGTACTTCCTAAGGGGAAAAATACTTTCTTGGTGCTTACCCTGCCTAGGAGGATTTTGCTACCAAAAAAATTGTTTGAGATCCTAGTATGGGAAGTGTTTCCAGTTTCAGTCCATGGTGGCAGCAGCCGCCTCAGTAAGAATTCCAGTGAAAGTCTGAATACCAATATGTAGAAAGAATGACCTTCTGCCATGCTCCAGTGAAACTGTCACCTCTGCAAAGCAATGTAGATGCCATTGCCAGACACTTGGTAGTATTTTTTTTTTAATTAGGTATAGCATAATTGTTCCTATCAGCTCCTGTTTTGTTGCAGAGTATCACCAAGTAATGGAAAATATATTTTCTTAGAGTGATTCCTTCATGTTTGTCTGCCAGAAGAAAATCTTTATAATGGTGAGCATAATTCACAAAATGGGCAAAGGTTCCATTTTTCCAATCTGTCCACGATCATTTACACTAGAAAATGAGCGGTTCAACAAGGAAATGAGGACAGAACGAGCTAGAGGTTAGCTTTTGTATGAGCTATTTATAAAACTGTTTCTGTAGCTTCAGAAGTAACAGAGTTGGGTACTTCCCTGAATGGGAATAAGATGGGAAAGATTTCATATCTGAATTCCACAGCAATTCTACAATACCTGTGTGTTAGCAGTTGTGGCCTCTTTGCTGGTAATTTACAAGAAACAGCACACCGTAGGAACCTGGGACAGCCCCTCTCTGCAGCACAGTTAGGCTGTGCTGGAACCTGGCATCTAGGAAAGAAAGCTTGGTAGTCCATGTAAACCACGTAGTCCATAATTTTCACCTCAAGACAAAGTTAACAGCAGAAGTTAGGAAGATAAAGTATACCTATCTGTGTGTCTGTTTTACTGTTCTATTTCTTTTTAGTAGTTATTGTCTGTGTGAAATTACATATTTATGTCCCTTTATGTTCACTGTAAAGTTAAGAAATGGAGGACAGTGTGATAAATTCTTTGTTACCTTGTGGTTATTTCGCTGTAAATCAGTAGCTCAGAGCAGTAAAAATAAAATTTTCTTGCATACATTAATCTTTTATAGCATTTCTAGTTTCAAAACTATCTGAAGTAATTTAGTAAAAAAAATCAGGATATATATGATCATCTATTTTATTTTCAGAGAAAAAAGTGACTCAGCAGAAATCCCACCAAATTTACTACATTATTTCATACTCATTCCATTTACATTCTTCTGCCTTTGTTTTTAATTTTAGCATTATCGTACATGTTGAATATTGTTATAATTGTATTCCCAATTGCTGGAATAATAATTGAATTTTAATATCAATTTGCTCATTCCTTTTTTTAGGTCCCATCCAGCCATTCAGAGAACTACTAAAATTTCTGCATGTTTTACTGATATCTTTTTCTCTAGGTTCCATCCAACCACCTACTAGAACGTTTGCATGTTTCATCCTTGTATTTCTCCAGGTTTCACTTATCCATTCATCTCCCTACTAAAACTTCCATTGCTGTATGTACATACTTCAGTTACTATTTCCAAAGTGCCAAGTCCCCTCGATGGGACTGCTGAATGATCTTTGAAAATCAGGTGGGTAATTGAAGGCAACTAGATTTTAAACTCTCAGTCTCAGAAGGGTTAAACTGCGCTCAGCAATTTCAGCACAAACCAAAATGATTCAGCCAGTTGGTTGAGCTACTCTGTATTTATTAATGCGCAATGCAGACAAGAGTTCACTCTTTGTGGTGTTTACCCACCTCCTGCCTTAGCCTTGAACACTTGCTCCAGTGTGCAGTAGCACAGATTAAATGTTAAGGCACTCTGAAATCACCTGCAGCTGCAAAACAGGGTCTCTGCCCTGTTCACCACCCTGCCTACATATGCCTGCCATATCTCTCGTGCCAGATCCCATGGTCATCAGTGAGTGAGAGCAGGGAACAACCACAAAGAAAGATTAATCATCAGTTTACCGGCTCTGTTAACTGATTAAATCAAGTTTGAGATGCTACTCCAGTGGAGTAAATTCCAAAATTCCCCTGTTCAGTTCTGTAGCACCAGGCTTTTGACATTGACACGTGGCTTTCAAATCTTCTTTTAAACAGCTAAAAAAGAGAAAAGTAAAATAATAGATTAATATGATTTTGCCTCTTCTGCAAAACGTTAAATTTATCAACAATGCGACTGATGGCAGAATAACAGCTTCCATTTTTGTGTGGTAGATTTCAAATCAAGGGAAAGCAGAAGGTCTAAAATTCTTGATATCAGCGGTTCATATATAAATCAGTAGTTATTACTTATATTTTGACAGATTTTTCTACACTCCTGCTGTGTCAGCAGTCAGAAATTTTAATACTGAGGTTACACTGATTGTGAGTATAAAAAAGTTCTATATCAGCTACTTCTGAGATATGGAGTGCTCTTTCCTCCTACAAGAAGACTCTACTCCTGAGGGAACTTCAAGAGGCCTGGTCCTCAGTTAATGTAATCATTTAGATACAAGGGAATAAACATAAATATTGTATTTGTTAATGAAAATGTGCCGTAGATGAATAGAAGCCAAATAACAAAAATCTCTGTAGAGTAATACATCCTATTGACCTACTGTCAAATGAACGAAGTGATTTCTTCATACTTAGCTCTTGTCATACAACAGATTGCTAAATATATTCCATTAAAAGTTTACTTGCAGAAGATAAGGACAGTGAACAAATGATCATAGTTTTATCACCAGGTCTGGTATTTTGGGGATTTTTGTTATCTTTAAATAGAATTTATTGGTAACATAAACAATTGTTCGTCTCAGAAAGCAAATCGGTTATTGCTGTTGAACCATTTTTCATATTTATTCAATAGTCAGTTCATTTCATCCTAGAAGCCTGAGATATAAGGAGTGATGGATTGATAATTACCCATTTGTCAAAACAATCCTACTAGCATGTATTCTTTTCATAGTCCTTCCATTTACAGCTTCCATTTTGATACTTCTGAAATGTTTGGGGGTTTTGATTTGTTTCTGTTTGATGTTAACATTTTGTTTGAAAGAAGATTACCCTGGAGAAAACCCTGCAATCCCTCTGCAAAACTAGTAACACCTTTTTGTTATTTTAGTTTTTCAAATGTTTAAAGAAAATAGAAGTCAAATAGAGTAGTCTTTTAATAATGTGATTATCATACATCATCATGTAGGATGCATCACATCAAATGTTCTATGCTGACTGATCTTAATTTTTTTTTTGGCCAGAGAGAATATTCTGTACCTCTTCAAGCCATCATCAACCACAATGGTGACATTATTGACAAAAAGATCTGAAAGTACACTTTATACTTTTACAAAATATGGAGAAAGATTTGCAGTGGAATTACTTAGCCTTGCGTTCATTTAGTTGCTAGCACAATATGTTAAAACACCTGACATGACTTTATCATTACTGTGCTTTCACTGAAAATCAGCAACTTCAATGTCTGCTTATGCCACTGGATGATGCAGGTGGTGAGAACTCTTCCACTAAACGAATCCTTTTTTTTTTTGCTATGAATAAGAAATCATTTTTGTAAGATAACACATTAATCCTTCATGTGTAGGCCTGCCTTTTACAACTGATATCCTCCTCCCAAGGGATTTTTAAAAAGAAGTTAGATGAAACAATAAAAAGGAATGAGTAAAATGTTATGGCTAAGTGGTTAAATTCTATTAACAGACTTTCAATTAGCCTTCAGTGGTTAAGCAAGCATAAAAAATTAATATGACCAGTATTTACAAAAATGCAACTATATTTTATATGTGGTTTTGTCATAGCTATTACATTTGTCCTTGAGAAAATATAGACAAATTATAACTTTAAGGTCAAAATCAAAGGATAACTTCAGAGTTAAAATTTGATTCTGGAAACCCAAATCTAAAATAAAAAAAAAACCCAAACCTCTTTAAAAATATGGGTTAATATTTTTCCAAAGTTGTTCTTGTTGAACTGTCTTTTCCTCCACTTTGAAATGTTCTCCAGATGATTTCCTAATACCATATAAAAGACGTTATCTTTACATTATATATGTTTAAATCCTAAACATATCTGTTTATTCTAGCCTTTCAAATGCTACATTGGTAATTTTATTTTTTTTTTAACCATTTAGGCTTTTAAGACACTAAGACTTTTTGCATATTTTTATCAGAAACTGATATCTCTGAGGTTTCTAGTCAACATCTAAAATTCAAAGAGATGTAGGAAACTTGTAAAGATAGTCTTTACCTTATTCCGGTTTTCTAATAATCATGATTACAGCATTTCAGGTTTAATGCCAGTTTCATATTTTTTCAGGCTTTTGATTTATATAAATTTATACCTCAATGTACTCTAGGAGACTAAACATTTTAAAATACCTGAATAACAGTTGCTTGTAGTGATTGAGTACCTGACGGTGGTCAACTTTTAGTGTGATTAAAAGGAAAATCCAGTGTGATGATAATAGTTCTGTCCTTATTTTAAATTTTTCTCCTATAATATGGGAAAAAATGAGTTGTTTGTTCCTTGCATTTTAAATTAATATTCTAATAAAGAAATTACAAAGTATAAATACAGGGGACTATTTTTAACTGTTGCATACCTTGATTTAATGACGCTGAATGCATATATGGTGCACATTTTAATTGCAGACACGGACATCAGAGAAATGGCATCTTCCTCAGGTCAGATATGTGATTGACCTTGATTTCATTGTGGCTTTTTTGTGGATTACTGTGGATTACATCTCTAACAAACAGAACCACTCAGCAGCTTTCATATAAACTCATGATTTAATAATAGATCACAGTCCACATCTCATTTTTCTTTTACTTGCTTGAAACATTAAGGTTTACCATTTCAGCTACTGAATTACGCAAAGCTTTCTTCATCAGTTTGAAGCTTCCATTGTGAATGCTCCTGACTATTAAGATTTCTTTCCCTTTCTTTTGCAGGTTTTACATTTTCACATGTTGTTTTAAAGCAGATGATCGTCTGTGCTTTCAGTTTCTTTATGTACTTTTTTATTTGTATTTCTTTTCACAGATGAAGATGACACTTCAGTTAGTACTCCACCAGCAGGTTAGGACTGTGATAGTGCTTTGTGTGTGTATGTATGTATGCATTCTTCTCTTGACTATTAATGAAGAAAGAGTCCAAACCATTGGACTAATCTCAAAACATACTAATTAGAGAAAAAGTTTTTTGAAGTGCCCTACATTAATTTAATCTCTGTTCAGAAGTACAAGACCTTCATACCAGATAAGTTCCTTTCCAGTCCTGTCTTGAGGTCTTTGGTAGAACTTCTGCCATTGGAAGGTAAAATATCGGTTAGCAGCTCTGAAAGCAACTCCCCTTATCTTTTCCTATCAACAAACACAGAGTGCATTTTTAAGGTTAGTCTTGAGAGCAAATTCCAGAATTACAAATAAAACAGATGCCTTACGACTTCAAAACAGGCTTATCCACATAATTGTCTACCACCTCACCTTAGGCCATATGACCTACAAGGTAGTTTCAATGTACTGCTCCAAGCCATTGCTGCCAAGCTGGCAGATAAAATGCCTTTGTTTGTTGGCAGTAAAAGAAAAGCCACAGCACAGGGGTCCATCATGATAGATGTGACATGGGCAAAATTTCTCCATTGCTTGCTTAATATGTTTTTTAAAAATAGACTGTGAATGAAACAGAGATTTTGAACACTAGAAAACACTTTGTAGTGTGTCAAATGAAAAACATGCTCTTAATTATCTTCATTGGCCTAAAGGATCACATTTTCTTGATTTCTCCCAGAAGAATTTGCATTAGTAACTTTGGGCTGAATGCTATCTGTAAAGTCAGTAGCAGTACACTGATTTACAGTAGCAGAGGACCTCATTGGTAAAAGCTAAATATATAAATAACATTTTAAATCACAAACCCTTAAAATTTGATTTTAACTGTTTATCATTATTTTGCTCAACCTAGATAAATAAATAGACTATTTAAATGATTCAAAGTACTGTCCCCTCAGATAAATATTGAACAACATAAATTCATCTGTTTTCTGGAACTGTGCAAATCATGAAGAAAACATCAGCTTCACGGAACCCTTCTAAATATGAACTACTAAAAAGGAGATCTTGAATGGGAATTAAACTAAACTAATTTAGATTTAGATTTTCTAGAGAAAAGAGGGAAAGATTTCTGAATTTTTTTCTCAGCTGTTCACTTCCTTTTTCTGGTAATTAAATAGTTCCTCATGGGTATGGTCCTAAATATCTAGGCTAATCTTCTTGCATGAAGAATCAATGTTCTTGAAATCCCAATGATCTGAGGTCAGTTAAGCTGTGGTCTCTGAGCTGGTGTAATCTAAATTGCTCTTCCCTTTCAGATGGGATGTCTAAGCCAGCGGAAAGAAAAGATTCAGGTGAGACCTCCTGAAAAACATGTTGAAACAATCCAAATTTTACATAATACAATTATTATTAATAAGTTATTTCTTAAAGATTATATTTAATTTTAATTTAATTGTTCATACAGTATCAATCTGTAACTGTTGAAATGCTTTTAGGTATCAGAGCAAATAGGTTTCTAGCAGCTAAAGCAGGAGTGAGAGAAGGCTCTGCTGCACAGGACAGGACATGTATCAGTATTTTACCCATACATACATACCTATCTATCTATATCTATTTCTATATAGATAGATATGCAACTATTCCCTTCCTCCTCAGCCTACAGGGTGACAGTGTCTTACCTGAATCCCAAACACAGGCCCCAGGAGACTGTAGGGGAATGGCTTCTTCTCACAGCTCAAAGGACGGTGGGGAAAACTTAGCAGTCATAACCTCTTTCTTTCTACCGTGGCAGGTAACGCATACTGCACCCACTTTTGTGGTTTCAGGATTTGCAGCCTCTGGAACAAAATGAGCAGCAGGTACTTCAACCATGGTTATTGACCTGGCATAGCCGCCTATGCCAGCCCCCTGAGCCAGCGTCAAACCCACGTTTTGTTCTGTTTGTTTAATAAATAGGAAAACGTTAATGTCTAAAGGTGATGATAACATTTAGGTGTTATTTTATGTGGTATCGAATTAATGACTCTACGTAAGCTTCTTCCATTTATTAATATCCTTTTTCCATTTCATCCTCTGGTGTGGTAGGTTTGTTACTGCACGTGACCAGTTCATGTACCAAGCATTGTCACATCATTTTATTCACACCAGTAACTCTCACTCGTTCTTATGTTGTTTCCATATACTGGCACGTTATACTGTCATAATCTAAACATCTAGATTACAGAGAGAGTATATATAGATGTTTATCTATATATATTTGTGTTCATATATGTCTGTGTATATGTTTTCATATATGTGTATATACATGTGTGTATATACATGTATGTCTTTACCTGCAAGAAATATTGTACAAGCAAACATATACAGAGGTGTCAGGCACACCACCCAAAAGTCACTGAAAGACTGAAAGGCAAAGATTTTATAGCAAAGCTATCTAGCATTTCTACACCTTTTTAAAATTCCTAATAGACTTTAGGATAATAGAAACAGTTTGGTTGCATTTTCCCATGGTTGTCATGAGTTGTGTTGCATTCGTGAGTGATGGAAATTTTCATGAGTTAAAAAGGTTCCCATAGCAGTAATCTCTACATAGTAGAAAGACAATTCTGACTTCTGGCAAATGAGTTTCTACAGAAAATACTGAGCAGGGAAAAGAACTTTTCATTTCAAGACCAGGGTTTGACTAAGTGAGAAGAGTTGTGTGACTGGTTCCTCATTTATGCTAGTTATGAAACCAAAACCAAAAGAACATTGGATAAACTATAAAAAGCTACCTTTGCTTCTGAAACAATTAGAAGTTCAAGGGGAACAAGGGAGATGCAGCTCTGATTTGAAAGAGACAGACAGCTTTAATTAGAGCTGTACATTTCCACGTTTACTCTGCTCTTCAGTACTACCAGGGCAGCACTGGCTTTACTCAGTTTCACCTATGCACTGGCCGTAAGTCCCCCCAAAAAAGGAGATGTGGCATTTGGACTCCGCAAGTTCTCATTTGGAATATGAGACACATGCTTTGCCTCTCTGTAGAAAGGGAGCAGGTAATGGACAGACATTCACTGCCTTGCTCTCTCTGCTTTTTCTGTTAGGAATCAGCTTTGTCCATGGTTTTGCATATATTTACCCAAGATGTAACTGCATAGCAAAAAGCCAGGGCTGTTCAGATAAGCAGAAAGACCAGAAACGCACAGCTGTGCTGGCACAGTTCTCTGCCCTGGGGAGACCGCTCTCTTGCTGCTTCTCTCAATACTGTTGTTACTTCTCAGTTCCAAAATCTCAATTTCCAGAAGAGAAGGTGCTGTGTCTGAACATGTGACACAATCATTTCCATCCGACAAACTATTTCTCTGTAAAACATCAGTCTATGCGTGGTGCAGGATGTGGTATTGAGTGATCCCCAAACTCTCTGCTTCTATCATGGTAAGAGAGAACAAAGTTCAAAAGTAAGCTTCATCCTTGCTCTATTTTGCAAACAAAGAGGAAAAACTAGCTTGTACAATTGACTGAGTTGGGGCTTGAGAGAGACCCACTGAAACTATGCATCATATGTGTTTTGTTTGTGCTTATAGCTGTTTGTGTTTTCAGAACCTCCATCTCTTCTGAAAAACAAAGAGCTGACCTTTGTGCATTGCCTCTGTAAAGCACTCATGGTTGAATGCTGGTGCCATTCAAGTTGCTCGGTACCCATCTTGGCTGATCAGGTTGCCCTCTCTTCCTCCCTGATAGTTTCATTTTCTGTCACCGCAGAGGTAGCATTCTTGCAGGAACTGTATACAATGTGACAGCCAAGCAATGGATGTCAATGTGAACAAAAACTTACATATCTTTCAGAACATCTGAAGAGAGAGGTAATAGGGTTAGAGAGTTTAGTAAGTTCAGGTAAGTGTATTTTGGAGGGAGTAAAACACGCTCAGATGACTGATACATCCCTCTCTCTCTGCATCTCAGTATGGTCTATTGGAGAAGGAGCTCCAGAAGAGACAGAAAAACATGATGACTCCCAAAGATCCACTTTATTTGTCGAAAAACCTCAGAGCGGTTCAGTGAGCGTTGGTAAGTGCTTAGAAACAAAATCAAAAGCCACTTTCAGAGAGACAGAGACTGAGGCAGATCCTGGAAAGGTACGTGCAGTTCCTGTGACACTCAACTTCTGCCCTCAGCTACAAGTACTTCCACTGATTTTAGGTGGATGTGAACTCCACTCTTCGAAGTCAAAAAGGACTGTACGAAGAGAAGGAAAAACCAATTGTTTAATTCAAGACAAGTTCAAAATCTAATAGTTTACTGAGCACAATGGGTAAGAGGTATAGTTTCTGGAGAAGAGAGCTGGTTACTGTGATGCTGTTGGCTGTACTGTTACTGATATGTCAGGAAGATCTACCCAAAGGCCTGCAGCGTAGCTTAGAGATTGCCGGGTCAATATTTGTACCCTACAGCTGTGTGTAAATTAGCAAGTAGACTAATAGGAGCAGCTCTGTAGGGAAGCTGGTAGGGTCACCCCCACTGTAACCATTCTGGGGGATTTGCTGTAGACTAGCTTTGGTTTAGTCCGGTGGTCTATACACCTATTAGCAGTTGGAGCACAGGTGGCAAACTCTCAGAGCACATCTTTGGTTTTAATTTCATCCCAGAGGAATGCAGTTCAAGCACTGTGAGGACTTTCTGTGTTGTGAACCAGAGCACAGTAAATGGGGACAGTTAGGAGGTTCACTTCCAAACTGCACTCCTGAGCCATACTAACATGGTAAGGTAGCTGCACCCTAAGCAGGGTAGCAGCAATGGTGAGAAGTTCACTACAGGCTATTTAATATGTCTGCTGTGTACTTGGATACACTAAAACATGGTCAGATGGGTTTTTTTAATACATGCCTATTATTTTTCTTGGTTTCTGAGTAGAAAAAATGCATTTTGGGAGGATTTATTTGGAAAATAAGTATAAGGAGTTAGCTGTATTCTCCTCTGGAGGCCATGAATGTTAGGACGGAAACTCAGCAGGGGCTGGGCAGTGGTGTTCTGGAAATTGAGCTTTTACTATTCCCAAATTATTGTTTAGAGAAGACTCTTTCCCCTCCCTTCTCAGCTTAAAGAATTAATGATAGAAATGCATGAAGAACTCCAGGCTTTCTTTTCCAGACTGGAGTTTATTCATGTTACAACTGCCTGGTAGCCTAGGAACACCTGTGCTTTCCTTTTAAGCAAGGTAATTCAAATATTGGGAACAATTTGCCCATTACAACATGGAGTTTTGCCTCAACTACTTTATCCTGCTTCTCTGTGTCTCAAGCTCCACATTGACATGGGCAGAAGGCTTCCAGACCCAAAATCATTAACCTCTGTAACACTGCAGTTCTGTCATAGCCTGTGTGACTCCATATGATTCTTACTGTCGTGGTAGAGCTAGCACCTGGAGCAGTAGTAAAAGAAACTTGTACAGGTGTTACTGACCAACCACATGTACCTCAACGATTGCATTATTCTTTTCTCTTTTTAAAAGGTGGGAATATTACATTTATAGCCAAAGTAGAAGCCAAAGATCTTCTCCGAAAGCCAAATGTTAAGTGGTTTAAAGGAAAATGGATGGACCTGGCCAGTAAAGCGGGGAAGCACCTGCAGCTGAAAGAATCCTTTGAGCGTCACACTAAGGTGTGTCTTTGCTTTTCCTTCTTACAGGGGCAAAGCTCCAAACAGAGCTTAAAGAACAGTTTAAGACAACAGGTAGAAATTCAAGAGCAGTGGATTCTAGCCCTGGCTTCCCCATGCAGATTTTAGTGATGATCTCCGACCCTGCGCAGAAGCAGACTTTTCTGCTCTCCCAGCGCAGGACAAGTAGTGGTGGGGAAATCAAAGTTTTCCGTTGCCATTTCTGGGTTCCAGATTCTTTCCAGAGCCCTTTATTCGAGTTATTCCTTACTCCTCATTTAGGTCTGAAAGACTGAGCTTTTAACTTCTGCTTTGTGCAAATGTATCCCCCACATTAATGAATAATTATGTTTGATTTTTAGATTCACACATTTGAGATGCATATCATTCAAGCTAAGGAAAACTATGCAGGGAACTATCGCTGTGAAGTATCTTATAAGGACAAGTTTGATAGTTGCTCTTTTGACCTTGAAGTCACCGGTAAGATTCCACTTGTGTCTGTAAAGCTTTATAAAGATTTCTTTTTTTTTTTAACCTGAAACGCCACCTAATTTTGTTCAGAACCTTTAAATGAAGTAATGCTTAAAGTGAACATTTTTAGCATAGAGCTCAGAGGATTTTCTTAAGTGTCTGTAATTTATTGTTTAAATGAACATTGGGATAGATAGCATGTGAGACATTTATCCAAAAATTAGAAAAGCTGGCAGATAAAACTAGTATTGAATTCAAATCAGGCTGTGGCACACAAGACAGAGAGCTAGGCTTAGGGCTATTCAGAGAGTGAGGCTTCATCTGGCAGCATCTGAGCAGAGGGATGTGGAGTGGTCATGGCTTGCCAGTCCTTTGCACCCTGTTCGGGCATGGTTGTGATCATACTCCAGAAAGCTATTTCTTCCACTCTTCATCAAAATGAAGAATAGCACAATGTGGAGAGCACTGGAGAGTTGTACCTTTGTCTGCTTCTGTGTTATAAAGGGCCTTACTCTGGCAAATGTTAACCCACAGGCTTATCTTTTCCTCCGAGAACAGTTCTGCCATCACAACAGCACATGCATACCTGCACAATCAGACTGAGAAAGATGGATGTCTTCCGAACTGCCAGGGCCAGCAGCCAGTGGACAAAATAGTTGTTCACCCTCATAAATCATGTGCCTAGACCAGACTGTTCGTTCGCCAGTCAGGGGAAGCTGGTCACAGTTAAGGGGACATTTGACGGCTGACTGACAGCCCGAGGGGCATAGGTAGGTTTGTGTATTCAGAAGCCAGCGGAACAGGGGCCAGCCTGGCTGCATCCACTCACTGGCTGTGGATCAGAACCATTTAATCTGATTCAGGCTGGCATAAATGGGTAATTCACCTCGGGGGGTGAATTCCTCGCACTGAGAATCAACATGAGTCTGTAGTCATAGAGAAGACTGTCTCTTTCCTCTGATGCTGAGCGTACTGAGAAAGTGCAAGATGCAAGCAGGAGAGAAAGCATAGGGAATGGGAAGACAAAAAGGCCAGACCCTGTGTATAGGCAGGAAGGAGATAGGCAAGAAACATCACAGAGACAGATCTCCTATGCAGAACCTCAATTAAGTAAACTTAGCTTAGCACTGAGCAGCTTTGCATTTATCAGAACTTAATGCCAAAGGAGCAGCACAAACTGTGGTCACTTAGCAGGAAACTGAACAAATTTCATATGCCAAATTACATCGATTACATAAATTACATTAATTTCAAATTATGTTTTTAATTCTTGTATTACTGTTGTTTCATAGAATCTTCCCAAGCTGCTCCATCCATTGACATCAGATCTGCTTTCAAAAGAAGGTAACTTCAAGCAGTGGGCCTATGAAGCTCCTCAGTAATGGGTGCTGGTAGCATTCACAGAACTTGTGACAATCTTGGCAGACAATTGTATCAATTATTGGAAAAAAAAATGTTTTTGTAAATAAAGATTAAAGAAGTGGGTTTTAGGGTAGTTGGTAGTGAGTAGAATGAAATAGTTACAACTCATAGTACATATGATATTAAATACTCTACTGTGAAATTACAGCATCATTGCTTTAAGGGAAGATGGAATATTTAAGGCAATTAAATATCTCTTTCTTTAGAGGTTTTTAAAATCATATTTTAATTAACTAAAATGTTCAGCCACGTTTCCTGAAAATTGTCAGCTACAATATGAAAGTTCCTGGTCCCAGTCCTGTACTGATTAAAAGCTGAGAGAAAATTCACACTGATTTCAAGAAGATAGGATCTGGCTTTATGTTGTCTTACAGTAAAAAAGTGTGTCATAAGGCCATTGTTACAGAAAAACTACAGATAATATATTGCAGAGGCCATAAGATAAAGCATTGTGTCTGAAGTCTTTTCCTTTGTTAGTTACCTTTGTGATAAAATACCAATTCAAACCAGTATAGATTGTGATAAAATAGTAATTCAAACCAGTATAGATGTCATCTTTACATTTGATGGAGAAAATTGTCTTAGAAGGACAGAAGAATTCAGAATGAAAATGTTTTGCAAACAGAAAATGAATGCAGTTTGTTAATTTACACATACAAGCAAAGCTGTGATTCAGAAGCAACTGCTTTTATTTAGAGGGATTTGATTTAAAGAGTAAATGCAAAAGATACTACACTCAAGGTGCACTCCTTTCTTGAGCACATTTTAAAAAAAAAATGCAAAACTATTCTGCCCAAGCAGATGAGAATATCTAAATATTTTCTGATTTTCTAAGTAATTTCTTGCCTGCAAAATCTGGGATGAAATATTGGCATCATCTGACTTAACATTTGCAGGATTTTGCCCTTATTTTTACAAATATTAAGGGCATTTCTTTTGTCTATATGAGCTTTATAAGAAGGTAATACTGCTTAAGGTCACATTATAGAAAGAAATGCACCTTCACAGGACTGTGATTCTATCTGTAAAAATGTACAATGTACTGTTTCTTCTTTTTTTAACTGATTTCTCCCTTCATTTAGAGAAAGGTTAAATCTTAAGTGTAATGCTTTGCAATCAGTATTTGACACAGCTATGCATTGTTAAAAGCACCACCCAGCAATGCAAATCTTTGTTTTATATTTGTAGCAAAAGATCAGCACAAGCCCTTTGTTTTTATACACACACACTATGGAAACAAAAAACAAAGCTGGTTGTGTTGACTAGCTCACATTTATTTGTGTTACCGAAATCTAACACAAATCTTGGCAAATTTATGTATGCAGTTACAAAAATTTGTCATCAAAGTATAATAACAAGCAATACAAACCTTTGTGTTATTTTTCACAATTGCCTAAGGAAACATACTTCACGTGAAAAAGAATACAAGTTTGTGTTGATTTTATACCATTATTTGTGTGTCTGGACAGTGTTGAGTATATGAGACATGTAGAGCGTTTGCAATGTGTGTTGTCTAAGTCTTCCTGTATTAAACAAAGATTTGATCTTTTTCTATTAATAACAGCGGTGATGGACAAGACGATGCAGGAGAACTTGACTTTAGTGGTCTCCTGAAACGTAGGTGAGAACCAAGTGATGCAGTGAGCAGGTGTGGATTGCAAACCATTAGGTTCGCACACAGAAAGAGTCAGGTGTAGCATTAATAACTTCTTAAGAATTTTCTGACCTTTCATTTTTTTTCAATGTTTCTAACTATCATTCTCACAGTATAATATGCAAATGTTCAGTTAATTGTACCTTTAAGTGTGCAGAAAAGAAACCTCAGATTTGATTGCACTGGGAAAAAAGTGAGCCACAACCTAAAGAGGCCAATAACATTTAGTTTACTTGCTATTTCTTTTGTGTTTGCATGGAAGGTAGAGGGGGAGAATTTCCTACACAGGGATGAGCAGTTCAGAAAATTGAGTCTGGTGCAAGATTAAAAAACTGCAAGGGTTAAATTTACCACTTTGGGTACATCTTAATTTGATTTTATAAGCATCCTGATATGAAAAATCATATATCATGCTTTCAAACCATAGACATTGGTATTAATTCTTTGTAGCTTTCTGTTTCAATACGTGCACACAAATATTCGGTGGCATTTTATTCAACTTAAATGCTGTGATGGAGAAAAACTTGGTGTTTAGTCTTTTAATAGGTTAAGACAAGATAGTTAATTCATCATTTTTTAAAATTTATCACAGAAATTTTATATGCCATGGAAATCAATGGCAACTGACCATAGAGAATTGGAAAAGGAACTAGATCCTTTATCTCATTTACCACTTACTCTGAAAGAGGAAAACCCAACATGCAGTACTAATTACATAAAAAGTTCACAATGGGCTCATGGGCTATGATGGTGAGAATAGTATTTAAGCAACTAAAGCAAACAGGAAAGGCTGAAGGTAAAAGTAGGCAGTGAAAGAATTACCTGAACCAATTCAAATCCACCAGGTCTTTGGTTTTTTAATCTTCTCATCCCTAATTAGGATCTTCAGTTTGACATTTTATCATATTAATACAACTTACCATGACAGTTCTCATGACTGCCTGCGGGGTGTTTGGTTAGCAACATGAGAGTTGCATGTAAGAGGTCTTGGGGTTTTTGTGGAAGGAGAAATGTGATTTAAGAGTCATTATCACTTCACTAACAAGTAACTCACATGTTTTGTAAGATAAATACTGTATAGCCATATAAACATAGTATACCTATCGTGTGGTTAATGGGCAAAGCAAACTTTTAGTTTTTAAACACCACTATTTGATATTGGTCAAATCGGTTCATCACCTCCATGCTTCAGGCACTGAAATGCAACCTCAGACTTCTGAGCTTAATTGAATAAGATTGCTAATTAAGCCCCAGTCTGGATATTAATATCCATTTTTATGAAGACAAATATGTTTTCATTTCAATTTTTTCAAGAGGCAATGTTGCAGGTGCATTCCTTCTCTTTCGCATAGTTATATTACCAAGGAAAGAGCTAGAACTTTTCACCTGTGGTGCATAATACTTGAAACATGTTTTTAAAAAAAAACCTAAATGCACAGAATCTATATACTGCCTATTTTCTAATTTCGTGCTGGTCTTGCAGGAAGACAAACCAGTTCTTATCTCAGTAAGCCACTCTGTGACTGGTTATGCTTCGTCAACGCAATGGATCAGTAACGGCATGAAATTCCAAAAGGCACAAGATCTCAAAAACACTCAAACATTTAGGTCCTTTTTTTTTTTTAAAGTACATCTTTCAACAAAATGCACATTTTCGGGGAAAAGATCTGAAAGCGATTTTGTAGAGAGGTCAATCTGCTTAGGAAATACCAAGCATTGTTTGCCCACTACCCACAGCAGAAACTATTGTGGTCTCAGAACGAAGTTGGTTTGCTCTAAGTGTCATAATTTGTTCTCCAGTTACGCAAGAGGAAAAAGAGTCTGGAATTAATTATTTCAAGCTGGTTGAAAATCAGGATACTCTAACTGATCCTCATTCTCAACTACTGCCTCATTTAAAGGGGTACATTATCTTGATTCCCCTAGAATGTACCTCTCCTTAGCACGGACAGGCGTTGCATGGCAAGGGTCCAGCCCTGGGAGAGGAGAATGCCGCCCCATGGGGTGTGTCAGCTTTTACATATGTTTGCAAGCTGATCTCGACTTGCCGCCATGCAGAAGGAATCTCACTGAAATGCCAGTGTTCGCTGTACATAGTCACCGTCCAGAAAGCATAAGCACAGATAAAAGTAAAAGGAATGAAACATAAAATTACATACCTGAGGTTGTCTAACAATAATTCTAAGATAACAATGTAAGTATTTCAAAGACTCATCAGTGAGAAGCTTTTTTCCTTTTTAAAATAACACTGGCATGTTACGAAAATTAATAAACCTCATGGATTAAACAGGAAAATGGTTTTCCATAGTTCCTCATCCAACCGTGCAGAGATTCTCAGGGACCCCCAGTGCTATTCTGTATATGTTAAAGAAAATTCTCTGTCAGACTTGATAGAGCTCAGCTCTAACAGTGTCTCGCTCCAAAGCTCAGTCTTTTTTTATTTCTCAAATGTTTATTTTCTCACTCTGTTCTCAAAAGTACTGATTTCATTGGACCAACTAGATAAAATCAGAATGATCCTGGTCTGATCCTAATGAATTTACAGGAAAAAATGTCTAGATTTCTGCTCCAATTCCCGGATTGTTCTAGCAGTTCACTTTTTTGAGCTAAGCTGTCAGTCTCAAAAATTATCATTTTGTTCAGGATGCTTCCATTGTTCTCTCATTTAATGGCTGCCATTGTGAAAATAATTATATTTCTCTTTATCGGTTGTCTTAGCTTGGAGTTGCAGATAGTAAATATGGTATTGAAACTTCTGTATAAAGGTGATGCTATTCACACAGGCCTCTGAAAACACTTCCTGCTCTTAAGACTGAGATAAACATGGAAGCCAACAGACCCATCTTGCAAGTCCAAGCTGGTGTGGAAATCTCCAGTTCCTATCCATATGCCAACTTTAAGTAACTCTGAGAAGCACTGGTGTAACTATAAACAGACCCAGATTCCCTTGGATTTCAATGTCCTTTCATTGGTCACCCCTAGTAGCAGTTACAGGGACTCAGGGTTTGAAAGCATTTTTATATAATTATGAATGTACCGATTAGACTCAGATCTCAGTGGTGCCATCACAAATTGTAACTGATTCCATTCAAGTTACAACAGATAAAACTGATTTAAGTGGGATTAGCCCATATGCTATTATAGTACTACATTTTCAAACGGCATTGTTTTTTTTAAATAATGAAGCAATACAAAACCTCTCATAACTGATTACATCAGAAAAGGCCAAATTAAAACTTACATCCAAATTCTGCCTTCAAGTAGTGTAAAGTAAGATGTGACTGTCATTCTGAGCTATTCCACTCGTACTGAGTGAAATAAAAAAATATGATGGCGGCCTTCAAATTTTGATCAAAACATTTCTAGCCTTGCCATAGATTGTTTCACCTTTTTTGTGGTGTGAGAAAGCCTCATTAACTCTTCTCCCATAATTTTATTTTGCTACTGTTAGGGAGATTAAACAGCAAGAGGAAGAACCTGAGGTAGATGTGTGGGAGCTCCTGAAGAATGCGAATCCCAGTGAATATGAGAAGATTGCTTTTCAGTATGGTATCACTGACCTGAGAGGCATGTTAAAGCGTCTGAAGCGCATGCGCAGGGAAGTGAAGAAGAGTGCAGGTATGGATAAGGCAGAATATTCTTATGTTCAGTAGTCAAACATCAGCATCCACCTTAAAAACCCAAACTTGCTTTATTTCCATGTTGCACACTACAGCTCAAGCCTTATTACTGCAAGGAGTTAATCAGAAGGCGGCTTTGGTCCGCTGTGGTTAGTGTAAACACCCTATCCCATTCAGTGCTTACCAAAAGCGTCCCTCCCTCTTGGCCACACAGTAGTTCCAACTGGAACAAAGTCCCCCAGTTGTGTTGAAAGGTGTTACCTGATCAAACAGTATGGAAATTAGACCTTGTGTTATCATTAATATCTTCTGCTCTAAAATAGAGTCACTTCAAACACATTGTTTGCACTTCACAATTTCATTTTGCACTTAATCTGACATTCCTCTGAAATCCCCTCTGTACTAAAAACCCTCCCCACCTACCCTACTGAATAGTATGAGTGGTGTCACACATACATAAATATAGATACGTGTTTATATGTATGTGTATATATACATATGCATATATAAAATAAATGTATATGTTGCATAATACGTACAGACACACATATAAATACAACACACTATCCATTTTACTATTGTGGCATTTGCTTGCTCCTGGAGAGCATTTCAGAACTGGATGCAATATATACATCTGCTGTTCCACTGGTTTCCTGGAAGAGTCCCGTTTGTGTAGGTGAAATCCTCCACAAATCCAGCTGTAATCCAGCTGCCTGATATACCCTCTCTCCTCACCATTACCTCACATCATAACATGCATTCTGTTACTACACATTAATTTTTATTTATATTTTTCATTTGCTGGTATATCTGATTCTGGCCACAGTTGAGGGAGGGAGAAATGGAGTCAATGGGCTTTGGCTGAGCCACTGGGGCAGTTTCTGTATCCAGTGGAGCTCTTTAAGGGGTTGAAGCCCAGGGAAACTCCTCACCTTCCCCAAGGAATCTGGAGTAGGGCTGGAAGCTGGGGCAGGAATTGCGTAGCTGGCAGGAAGAGCTGCTCCCTACCCAGGTGCATCATGTGGAAGTGCCTGAATGTTTTACTGGGAAAGGGGCATCTCCCAGCACCTGGGACCAGTCTGTCTGGTCCCTCTCCCCAGTTCCCTGTTGAGTAGGATGGAGCTGCCAGCCATATCAGGATTTTTCAGTGGACAGGGTTTTCCCTACAGGAGGTGCTCTAGACGTTGGGGAAAATGTCTACAGTAATGACAGGATGAGAGCAGGGTGTTCTTCCCCTCACACCACCTCTATTATAAGTTGGAAACTTTTACACTGCAACAAGATACATAAAAAATCCTTTTCAGAATTAATAACTCTACTCCTGTTGTGTTAATATATTCAGTCTCCTGCAATCAGACATATGCATTATATAAACATTAGCAGAAATCGATTACTTAGCTGTGGGCAATGAGTTTGAGGCACCATTTATTTATTTTTCAGCCACAGATATTTGCTCCCTGGGTCTAACTTTTGTGGCTGGCAATATCTAAATGTTGATGTTAAAGTGTTTTGAAATGTTTGAGTTGCACCTGGCCTTACCTTGCCCAGAACAACTTGGCCTACATTTGCACATCTCAAAGAACCTTTCTGAAAAGCCCCATTAGGATTCACAGGCTGACAACTTTTGCCTGGTTTCAAATATTTTTGCAAATGTTTTGCAGCTGTAACATTTACCACAAGTGGAACTGCAATGTACACCTTGCAACCTACAGAAAGAATCAGGAAAGCTAATTTGGCTTTTAGGCAAACCAATGTGTTTATTCTGATAATGGGAAGCTCAATAGGAATTTTAGCTTAAAATTCCTTGTCAGCTTGAGTGGCAGTGCTAATAGAGAAGTCCTTTGTAACAGATTCGTTGTAAATCAATCCATGGCACCAACTGTATACCATTTTATTCTGACATAGCACTTCCCAGCAAGCTGTCAAAGCCACATCTACCCAATCCTATTCAGAATACAGTCACACTGCAAAGTCATGAAGAGATACTAGCTTGAACGTGGTCAAGATAATCAGATCCGCATAGCTTTGCACTTATTCTAATGTTTCTAGAAAATAAACTGATTCATGTGGACTAGTCTAAGAATATAGAGTGATGCATAATATTGTGTGCATGTATTCTGACGGCTTTGATGAGATTTATGCAGTGTCATTTCAGCATTCATATTCTTGCTTGTTTTCTGATATTCTTTTATAACAACACTTGGTTTCCACGACAGCTTTTGCCAAAGGTCTTGATCCTGCATATCAGGTGGACAAAGGAGGTAAAGTAAGGTTCATGGTGGAGCTAGCAGATCCAACAGTGGAACTCAAGTGGTATAAAAATGGCCAAGAAATACGACCAAGTGCAAAGTAAGTGGTTTGATTGTATGTGAGCAATAATATGGGTATACATGTACTTCCTTGACAAGTGTGTTGCATAGATCTATCTCTTTGCTCAGGTTGCACCAATTTTATTTCTGAATTTCATTACACGTGAAAAGTATGCAAATGATACTATATTGCTCATGACCCAGAAAAGTCCGCTGTATGCTAAATGTTAATGCAGATTGGCTCCTTTGCCTCAAGAGAAAAGAATTAAAGATCCTCAACAAAACATGGAGCCATTTCCTACTTGGTAGTTTTTAAAAAATCGGGAAGCACTGTGAGTAAATAAATCTCTTCTCCTCAGCACTATGAAATCTGAAGGAGGTCAGAATCTTTCTACAGTATTTGGTTGCTAAGAGGAGAGATGTTTAACATCACATACTTACCCACCTGGCTTATAAACCACCTGAGGAAAGGGGAGCGAGGTTTGTCTCACCTTCCACTACCCAGTTAACACTCACACTGAAGTCAGCAACCTGCATAGCTCAAAGTGACTTCAGTCATGTGCAACAGGTCTAGTGTACCCAAGCTTCTTCGTCATCTGTATCACCTGCATATTGGTTTACTCTCTGGCTTTATCTAGAAGAAGTGACTTTTCAGGTGCAGGCACTTAAGTACAGGTAGATCAATGGCTGGAAGTGGAGCCCAGTCCCTAGTGGGGGCACAACCAGCTCTTACAACGTGGTGCAGAAAATCCCATTCCACAGTCAGACACAGCTAGGAATGACAATATGCAACCAGTAATGCACAACAATGTAATGTTCCTCAAATGTTGCTCAGCAGCACAAAATCCTAGCAACTTTCTCTTCAGGCCCTGTGAAAAAACAGTAATTAGCAAAAGCCCTCTTACAGAGAAGGGGCAGATTTCTTTCATTCTGTTGCTGCAGAAGTCAATGAAGGATTTTGAGTAATATTCATAGTCGACAAAAAATGCATAATAAAGAGGGTACCTTTTCTTTAGCCCCTATATCTGCCATGAGCGGTTCAGAACTGTTTCGCAGGCAGCTATGTGAATACCTCTCCAGTAGAAGGACCTGGATTGAATGCTCCAGTGCATTTCTTCCAGGCTGCTGAAGCAGCTGTCAGATGCTAATGAGCTTTGGTCATTACAAACCTGGAGCAGATCTAAACTGGTGACATAAAGGTGAAAGGCTCCATATCCCATTACCAAAACCCCATATCCCATTACTGATCTCTTGTGCCATCTGGCCTACCAATAATATTAACTTCTTAACTTTGGCTATTATTATACTTCACAAAAATGTTAAGAGTGTCGGAATGAGGATGGTGTCCTGTTACTGGTTATTTTCATCTTTACTCATCTAGAGTTTCAGACTCCATTTTATTTGCCAACCTTCAGAGCCTGCTCATTTTTTTTACTTTTTCATATCACCCAAGCCTGGATTTTGGAACAAGCCAGAAGATGCTCGTTGTCACTCTACACCATAGCTCTTTTTGCTAAAAAGTCTATGACAGGTCTGTTGAATCTTGGAAATGGCTTCCCAGCACAATTTTTCCAGTTCTATGTAAAAAAACAGGACTTTCACCTCTAATAATCCCTAAAGCACTTTCTACATAAAACAAAAGGGGTCCAGCAGTTTTGCTAATGTATCTTTGCTGCATTCCTGTTCAAACAGATACATTTTTGAGCACAAAGGTAACCAGCGAATTTTATTCATCAATAATTGTACGATGGCAGATGATGCTCGCTATTACGTAACAGCTGGTGATGAGAAATGCTCCACAGAACTGTTTGTGAGAGGTAACTATGTCAGCTTGCTCCTGTTACGCCTGCTGTAAATTGGTGTGGCTTCTTTGACTGCAACAGAAACTAACAGGGAGGATCTGGTTCAGTATATTTTTGTATTTGTATTAGCAGCCCTTAGGATCACTCTGTATTTTGGTGATCCCTGACCATTTTTTCCCTCATCCTGTATTTAGTAATTTAGTGAAAACCCTGAAATGGGGATACGGCTCATTTCATACTGTGCATTGGGATCTAGTGGGGCTGTGGTCCCCTTCACAGTTTTAAAGCCATTTTGGAGACTTGTTTGTCATAGCGTTGGCTTTCCCTAACACCACACTTAGGTACCTGATGATCCTGATATTCCTGGTCCAACTGGTCTGTTTCAAGTACCCTCAGACCAGGCTTTCTAGCAGTTAGTTTTCATTCCATCTGCACAGATTTAAGGGAAGACTCTATCAAAAGCTATGAACGGGTGGCCATTTCTTCACCCTTTTTGCTCCCACAGTATTGACAGTCTTACTGATAATATTCACGGCATTACTCACACATGCACAACAAAACAAACAGAAAACCAAAACTTACAGTGAGAGAAAAAAATCATCAAATATTTCAGAGAGCTATTTAAAATAATGGAGACCATCGCCCCTATAAATATCATAGGTTAACTGTTGTACAATCTCTTGCTATTAAATAAACTTGAGTTTTGACAGCAGGGATGGGTTAAACCAATAAGGGCACTGCGTTATGTCATCAGGTCATCTTATTGTGCATAACGGGCTATAGGACCTAACGAAAACGCAGCTTTATGAGAGGGATCTGTGGGAGGCAAGAGGGGGAATGTCAGCTTCTCATGTCGACCTGCCTGGACAAACTGTCAATAAAAAGGGATGCAAGGCAGGTATTCATCTGAACAAATGTTGGGTTTTTATTTAGCACATTTCCTACTAGCACCTTAATGAGCAATCACTTTTCTGATTTACGGCAGAAAAAGCTGTGCTGAGACTAATATTAGAATTTTAAAGTACTGTCGTCTTCTATAGCATGATTTTGAAAACCTCTTTCACTGTTTTATCTCTCAGATGGTAAATCTGTAATTTTCTCTTTCCAAAGATCCTCCAATTTTGGTGACCAAAGGCCTGGAGGATACCAGTACCTATGTTGGTGAACGAGTAGAACTGAGCTGTGAAGTGTCTGAGGATGATGCAAATGTGAAATGGTAAGCCACATTTTGAACAGATACTGTTTTCCTTGAGAATAAAACCCTGAATATTTTAATTGTAGGCAAAACTGTGGACAGCTTTTTCTATACCAGTAAACCTGAAAATTTCTAAGAAAATCTCAAGAAAACATTATTCAAAAATGTAGCAACAGCAAAAATATCCTTACACATTCATGGATGAGTTTGTTTAACCTTTCCTCGTGCCTTAAGTCTTATAAAGTCTTCTCTGGAAGTTTCATTCTATGGGAGTCCTATTTGCACAGGACATCTATTGGAAAAATAATCATTCTTTGTTTTCCATTAGGTTTAAGAATGGTGTAGAACTTAACAATGAACCTAAATCTCGGTATCGAATCAAGGTTGAGGGTAAAAAACACACTTTGATCATAGAGGAAGCTGCAAAAAATGACAATGCAACTTACTCAGTAATGACAACTGGAGGCCAATCAGAAGCTAAGCTTTCGGTTGATTGTAAGTATCATCCATCTTGCTCTTGAATTCATATGTCACAGTTTACTAGCTTACAGAAATAAATAATCTGCTTGCCTTTTCCTGGGGGTTTAAAGGGAGACTTAACTTCCATACCAATTTCTTTGCTGCAAATCTCCAGGACAGTGACTTTCCTTTAGACGCTGTTTGCAGCAACAGGCAATGGACTAGTCCTGCTTGAAAACTTTCTGTCACTCCATTAAGATAGGAAACAAAGCTATCCATCCAAAGATATAACAGGTCAACAAAGTGAAATTTTCAAGGGAAGTATCTGCTTTTCTTTAATCCTTTCAGGTTTTCACCGGAAAGCCAAACCAAGGCTTTTTAGCCAAAATCAGAAAAAAAGTATGTTGGAAAAAATAAGAAGTTCTATAACTAGGCATACTGTTAACAGGCACTTGACCTGAACTCATAGGCACAAACACATGACTATGTAGCTCCCTCAGTATTGTTTGTGCAATATCTCTTTAAAATGCCTGTGGGTTTTAGCGAAATGTATGTGCCCATCCTCTAAAGTTATCACACATTATGCATAAACATACACTGTTTTGTATACTGCTTTTGACTATTTTGTACAAATTGGCATCTTAAGCACAACCTATTCATGCTGTTCTATTATCAAGTTGGAAATTATCCTCGATGGCTATTGAGCTCCATCATCTTTCCTTTCATGCAACTTCTTCTGAGGATTTTCCAACTGGCTTTCTATAAAATGCTGCCTTTCCCATCACTCTTTGTTTCCTATGTCAGATTATAGTCAGGGATATTTACTGCATACACATGGTACTGTGTGTCCAGCCTGGACTTTGGTCTACAGCATCTAATCTTCCAGAAAGTGGAAGTGAACTGGGGCACCAGTTCTCAGACTCAAGTTTTACAAAAGCTAGTAATATCTGTGGCTATTCGTAGGGTGAGGTAAGGCAGTTTAGCAAACATGAGAACAAGTAGTGTATGAAGCTAAGCTTACTGGCCAGTCAGCCTTTGCTACCAGCCTGACAAAACAGGTTGAGAACTACAGTCCCCACTTGTGATTAAATACTTTGGTAAGTCTCCAAATTATCTCGGATCAGCTGGGAGGGCTATGAGAGCAGTTAGATGGCTGTTAGATCACAGGAAAGGTGGGTTGTAATCTCTTCCAGTGCATAGGTCTGGGGACATGGGTCTTTCACATCTTGAAAGTTTCTTACTGGACTCTGGGGGATAGAAACACCCTACCTCCAGCACCTAAACACCAGAGAGGGGACAGCATTCAAATTGTGCTCCTGGGCTTAGTTCCTCTACTGGCAATAACCATGGAGTTTCCCCAGTCAGGGCATGGATATTTTGGATCACCCTTTCTAAGGCATCAGACTACATGGAAAGAGGTTAACTTATGTAGCTTACGTGTACATATTACTGGTATTTGGACTTAAGAACTTTATTATTGGAGGCATTTAACTTATGTAGCTTACATGTACATATTACTGGTATTTGGACTTAAGAACTTTATTATTGGAGGCATTTTTCTGACTTGAAGACTATTGTGATGGCTAGTAGCAGCTCCATGACAGAATCATGAGCTATTGTTTGATATTAGCATTAAAATCTCTGCTTCTGTTTTCCTAAGTGAGACCACTGAAGATATCACTTGCACTAGAAGACCAGACTGTGAGGCTTGGACAGGAAATCCACCTGAAGTGTGAGATATCTGAGAACGTGGAAGGGAAATGGTACAAAAATGGACAACTGGTCGAAGCTGGTGACCGTGTAAAGCTTTATCACAAAGGAAGGTAAGCCTGTTGTGTATTGACTTGACTTCTGATGGAATGACACTGTAGAGATGTGCCAATATATGGGATACTTCACTGAAAACTATCTGGTAATCAAGCCTTACCTCTGTCCCTCAAACATTTATTTTTATCATCATAAAAGCCATGTCTCCTTGCCCCCTTTCATCTTGTGTCTTTTGGCTGTGGAGGACAATAATCAAATCCTTGATCCATCTAAGTTCAAGCTATTAATTTTTCTTAACATTGCTGTTGCTGTTAGTATGGGATATTAAGTAGGAAGGTAAAATAGTTGTTAGACATTATTAAAAACATATAGCTTTTAAATGTCTGTTTTTCTGATAACTTCTGTTTGTGTCAGCTCAGACCATGTATCTCTGCCCATGCAAAGTGCGTGGAGATATCAGGTCCCTTTGGATTTATAATCCATCCTTTTTCATGGAAAGTTTGTCAGTTTAAAAAAAAAACAAAAACCAAAACAGGTCCTACCTTTAACTACATCCTCTTCACTTCAGCTTAGCAGACCATTCATACAGCTGGGAACTGCACTTGTGAAGATGCTCCTAAACAGGCTATGAAACGTTTGCATTGATTCCATAATGCTCGTTAAGTCGCAATAGGGGACAAGTGCCAGCTGTGTAATGACCCCTTGGATTGACATAAGATGAAGGAGCTCCCCACAACCCATGTAGGCCCATAGGGTGAGGTGAGGGAAAGGGGAGCAGGAAGGGCACAGAGGTGAGTCCTACCTTGAACAAAGCTTAGCCACAGCAGGTGACAGGAGAGCAAAAATATCATCGTACTGGAAGATGCAGTTAGGTAGTAAGAGCAGCATATGCTTTGTTCATCCATTTCTTTATTCTGGCAAACAAATAGCAGATTGGATCCTGTCACAAAGATGGTCTAACAAAAGTCAGAATATTCTCACAATGGGATCACCTCAACATTTTTTCTTGAACAATGAAATTACAATCTAATGGCAGCAGCACAGAATCCCTGTGTCAAGATTACACTCCTGTGTTTTTCTACTTCTGTGTTCAAACAAAAAATATTAGAATTAGTTACATTATTTGCTGGTTGTCTCAATAATATTTTGTACAAATCACAAAGTATTTAATCAGCTAAAATACCACTAAGCAGCCAGCAAAGGATTTTTAGTCAGTAATTTTACACACTTGCACAGATCTCCTAAATGTTTCACAGATTTTTCCTTATAGCTTCAAGCAGTCTTCAAAAACAATTTACATTTCTTTCTTTTTCAATTTTTTACAGAATCCACAGATTTGTTATAGCGAGCGCTGCTGTTGATGATGAGGGTGAATACATGTTTGTACCAGATGCCTATAATATTAATATTCCATGCAAAGTACATGTTGTGGGTAAGTATATGGCACAATGACTTATATATAACATCTCTTTCTCTGACCCTTGGAAATTAAATGCAGCGTGCAATATCCTTGATTACAATCAGTTTGTTTCCTCTGAGCAGGCATCTACCACAGAAAACAGAGCGGCTGCTTTGGCAAAGTGCTAGCTAGTCAGAGAGCGCTTTGCCTGTGCTCAGGATCTGCTCATAGTTTACAAGCCTGGGGGAGCTCCCAGGGAAGGCTTCTTGATGTTGAATTCCTAAACCTAAACCACTACTAAGAGTTTGTGTAAAACACCTGTTGCCATCCTCTTTTCAGATATACAGTGTTGTCGTCTTTGAAGAATTGGCTTGCTGACATTTCAAAATGTGATTTGGTTTGGTAATATATTAGTAAAGCAGGTACATATTCTCTAAATACATCAAATGATATCTAGAGAGTGAAATGTTTCTGGTCAGTTTTTATTCACTCAGCAAAACAGAAGGCTTGTTAATGATCCCAGTCATTGAAACAAAAATAGAACAAGGCATTTTCTCTTCCCACAATGATACCTCACGGGCTTTTAACTGCAACCAGTGACTTGGAAGTCAAAAGGAGAGCACCATAAAGGCCCAAAGCTTTAGAAAATATGGTTTGTAATTGAAGCTGAAGGAAGTGGGATATCTGTGTTAGAAAGGTTTAGGGAGAATGAAGAAGGAAGGGGTACTGGAGGGTATGCTCACAGATATAATCTTCTAATACATTAAAAAAAGTTGTAAAAGGATATTAATCAGTTGCTCTTCATACACATGGGCTACAACAAAAGTGACCATTTCATTTTCAGGAAAAGGATTTGGGTTAAGAAAACTTTTAAACTGTAAGAACAGTGATGTCTGAAGGGTGGTAACTCCAGGTGTTGAAGAAAGCCTGCAATGGAAATTCTCAAGAGCCACTTAGAGGAAATCTCTCTCAGAAGTTACCTAAATATGCATAATTCTGCCTCAGAAAGACAGATTTTTTTTTTTATGGTCCTACTATTCCAAAATTTCTATGGTGCTATGATTTATTTTTCATCAGACAACTATTTCCTTAAAAAAAAAATTCTTTACAAATTTTCTTCCAAACAAAACTCCGTTGACTAAAAATACCAAAATACCAGGAAAATACAAAACATAGAGTATGTTTCTCTATGTTGCAGACCTGTGCCAGGTCACTGAACTCTCAGAGTGGCAGCCACATGGCAAATTTGGACAATCTCTCCTTTTTCAGATCCTCCTAAACTCCACTTGGATGGTCTTGGGGAAGATAACGTTGTGACAGTAGTGGCAGGAAGCAAACTACGACTTGAGATCCCCATCTCTGGCGAGCCAACTCCAAAAGTCATGTGGAGTAAAGGGGACAAGGTACATTGTCATTACACACATTTCTTTAGCTTGACAAGGGGCCTTTTACTTCAAAAAATAACCTTTAGCCTTGTGAAGACATTGATTTTAATGGCAGAAAATAAGGAGATGCATTTTATGTAAAAAACTCTCCTCACTCAAAAATGAAGGGTAAAATGGACAAATACTATTTAGTATCTTCTGGGTCTTTTTGAGGAAAGGCTGAAATTAATGAAGGAAAAAGATATGGTTTTGCTATAAATAAATTGTAAAGGAGAGGGACATATGAGATACAGAAGAAAACTAGTGAAAATCTACCAAATGGCTACTTCTTCTGTACATACTGCCCAGAATGGCTGCCAGGTTTTGATAGGAAGCCACGGTATGGTCTGGTTTTGGAAAATGAATGATAAATTCTGATGGAGTGTCAAGTCTCAAATGAAACAACAGGCTGGGCAATTGGTGTCTTGCATTTGGGGTCTTAATGCAAAATTTTGCACAGATCAATCCCTGACTGTGTAATACCAAAAAGACACTTTTCACATTTAAATTTTCATTGTGGTATGTGGAAGCTGGAACATGTTATTATTACTGGATTTGTCAGACCTATCTGGTCAAATCTCTGACTACTATTTTTCAAATATTAATTGTAGTATCACCACTGTGGACTAGTCTAAATAGGGAATTATTCTAGGAGAGTTCTTACTCCAAAATACGTGCCAGCATTTGAAATCTGTGAGGACAAACTACTGACCGTTACAATCACTCTGACCTTTAAACTGAACAAATTACATTTCGATGAGACTTTTGGGAGAATCCACTACTCTCTTTCCATCAAATTAATGACAGGTAGTGTTGACAAAAGCATGTTCTTGCTCACAGGACAAGTAAGCCTAGCGCCTCTTCCTTTGAGATGCAATGGCTGAACTGAGTACTAAACAGTTACCGTATTTTAAAGTTATTTATTTGTCCCTCAGTTATTTTGTCATTTTTGTGATCATTAGGTGACTGAAATTCTGAGCTTTAGTGTGTTTTTTATTACAGTCACTTTAGTATTTTTGCTGAAGTGTCCTGTACTGCATTTGGATTTTGATTTTTGAGCATTTTGATTCTCAAATCCAGAAAATATGACTTTCCCCTCTGCTTACTTTGACTCCTAGTGGATCACAGACAGCGGAAGAATACGGGCAGAAACATACCCAGACAGCAGCTGTTTGGTCATTGATACAGCTGAGAGGGAAGATTCAGGTCCTTTCAGAATAACGTTAAAGAATGAGGCTGGAGAGGACACAGCTCTAATCAACATTAAAGTGGTTGGTAAGTCACGTGGAACAGTGCACATGAGCCATGTCTTTTATCACAGCCCTTTTCAATAAATACTCCTTGAAGAACCCTACTGTTCTGTACCCCAACAAGAGACAAATTCTTCTTCCTCTATCTGAAGGGTCTCTTCTGTAGATGCTGTCCTCCCTAGCTACCAAACTGTTGTAGATTCTCAGAAAAATTCCATTTCCCTGTTTTTCCCCATTTTCAGATGTGGAATTGAGGTGCAAGGATACTATGGCCCAGTGTTACTGAAGGACACAGGAGCTTAGCATGGGATTTAAGTAGGAGTTAATTATCACCCCGCTGCCACCTCATGCTGCAAGGGCCAAACTTGTGCAGTTACCTCAGGGTGTCCTTAACACTCCCCGTTCTCCATTCTTCATGTGGCTGTGGGCCCTGTCTTACCACATGCCCTCAAGTGCCCCTCAAGTGTCTTGGCTGTGCTGAAGAGCTTGGCACTTATCCCTTCCTAACCACCTGCCAGGATCCACAAAGACCTTTCTCTCTCTCCTCATTAGGAAATCCTGTTGCACTTCAAAAACTATTTAGATTTGTTTCTTATTTGACATTTTTTATTTCAACCTATGCAAAAAGAAGAAAGATTTTTTTTTTTTTCATAATATTTACTTTGTTTACAACAGATGTCCCTGATCCTCCTCAGGCACCACATGTGACTGAGGTAGGTGAAGACTGGTGTGTTATGACCTGGGAACCTCCGGCAAATGATGGTGGATCACCCATCTTAGGTACATACTTTTTTTTGTGGTGGTGCTCTAATATAGACAAAAGAAACAAACACCTAATAATGGACGCCATAGGATCAGAGTTTAGCTCAGGCCCTGGAGAGTTGCACTCTGAGTACCCAGTTGCAAGAATGTTCTACCCAATCTTCGACTTTATTGGATACCTGTTTTTCTAATGCTTTGAGATTTGTCATTTTGTATGTTGCCAAATTATCAATCCCCCTACTTGAAAGACAACCCCTTATAATACCAAACTTTGAACAGTTAGCCTGTTTGAATGTTAGCAGGGATTTCAGAAACAATTTACTGAGTAAATTGGAATATCTTCTAATACACTGAACCAAGAGGAAAGTCAGAGGGGCCCAGAGAGGCCAGCAGAATCAGGCCCTTTTCACACTGAACTGACTACAGCAGTGTTGTAAGTGAAGTCCAAAAAAAGCTCGTACATGGCCATGAAAGCCAAATAGATGACTATCAGATAGTTTGCAATAGGAAAAATTTAACAATAACACCTAAACCACTCTGAGGCCAGGAGATATTGAGGTGCATCCAGGAAAAACGCTATTGGCCAGTCAAAAATCAGACCCCTCACTATTGACCTTTATGCCACCACTTACTATAATAAACTTTTGTTTGGTCAATAGGATATTTCATTGAAAGGAAAAAGAAACAAAGCTCCAGGTGGATGAGGTTGAATTTTGAGCTGTGTAAAGAAACAACTTTTGAGCCAAAGAAGATGATTGAAGGTGTTGCTTATGAGGTCCGTGTATTCGCTGTTAATGCAATAGGCATTTCCAAACCAAGTATGCCTTCGAAGTCCTTTGTTCCTTTAGGTAAGTAAACAAGAGCATAGAGATAGGTATGCATTTAGAAAATTATCTTTGACACATTACTACAGTCATCTAATTATATAACTGTAGTTCTTGTTACACTTGTGTTGCTCAGGATGTGTCTTTATTAGGTGCTGCATAAACTATATGTCTATCCCTGAAGGATTGATAGATTTATAGTCTTTTATAAACAAGAAACAAGGATGTATAGACAGAAAAATGGTGCACTACAATAAAACAGTGACATGCTATAGGTGAGCCTGATATACTATGGTCAATATGTTTTAAGGACCAGAATTAATAGTTCCATGCTTTTGTATATCATAGGGTATATGTCATAGGTTGTATATCATAGGGTATATATGACTCCTGAGTCAACAGAGTCAAGCTACTGGCAATTTACAGAATTGATAAAGATTATGGATTATAGTCTTGGTTGTTTTTTGCAGAAAGGGATCACATATTTTCAATATCCTTTTGCAGACAATCCAGATTAGGCTAGGTCATATTTTACATTATTCTACATGTCCTCTTACTGCTTTATATTAATGTAACAGCTAGAGGGCCTTGTCATTCACCTAGTGACAGACTAATTTGGTGGCCTTTTCATATAAAGAAACAGATTTTTCAAACTATTGTGACAACCACAAGTCCCTGTAAAAGAAAGGTGCCTTGTTCTGTAGGCCAGCAAAGGTTCCCACCTTGTTCAGCGGCACCCCCATGATGCAGAGGAGGAAGAAGGTGGCTGTTATTGCTACAGCGTGCTGTCCTCCTGCCAGAAAATACCTGCTGTTGTAGAATACGCTACTCACAACTTCTCTGCTTTACCTTCCACCACTCTTTGTCCTTCTCACTCCTCAGAAGGAGGAATTTAACTCTGGGTTAGGCTGTGAGCAGATATGGGATGAGGTACCTGCTTCTCCTAGTTTGGTCCTAATTGGGGAAGACGTGCCAGGGATGATTGGAAATGCCTGGTACGCAGGATTTAGCCTGTCACCTATGATGCTAAATTAGAGGAATACACACCATAAACGTAAACCTTTAATTGTAACACAGCTTTCTGCCTTCTCCCCGCTGCCTGCTTGCTTCAGCTGTTACCAGTCCACCAACTCTCCTGGCAGTGGATGGAGTGACTGATACCTCAGTTACAATGAAATGGAGGCCACCAGACCACATCGGAGCGGCAGGGTTAGACGGCTATGTTGTAGAGTACTGCTTTGAAGGAAGTAAGTGGCAACGACTGTGGTATGTTACTCATAGTGAAAGTAGGTGAGACTTTCTCCATTTTTTCTCTACGGGTATCAGGTGCTCTCACTTTAAGGCAGAGACTAATCAGTCAGAAGACCTCAAGCAGCAGGGTTTTGCTCAGGCCTCCTTTGGTTTGTATTCCAGATCCCGCCTATTGACTGTAGTTCAACCCACCTTACCTTTGATCTGAAATCCAAATCAAAAGCCATATAATCTGTTGTAGTGTACCAAGTACCGTGTTAATCGCTATCCTCTTTTTTGAGCTAAATGAAGAGTCGATGCAGTAAAGAGTGCATGGATGAAAGAATAGGAAATAATGAATGGCTATAAGCGTGGTCCAAAATATGTGCAGGTTGGCTGGGTTTTAGGGACAGGAGGTCCTCAGTGCGGTAATCCCTATCTTGACATATTACTAATTGGCTACTTCAAGTGCCAGTACTGAGGACAAACAGCCTCTCCAATAGCTGGCTGTAGAAGTTATCTAGGCATGCAAAGTTCATGTCTGGATATTGAATTTCTCCAACGTTTCAGTATAGTTAGATACAGGATTTTTAACTATGTCCATCTAAGACATAAATCTATACAGAACTGAAGGAGAAAGATAAAGATGTAAGAGACTGAATAAACTTATGAGACTAAAATAACAAGGAATAGGGAAATATAATGTATATTTTACAACTAAGAGTCTTTGGTGATCAAGCAGCAGAAACTTAGTATTTTCCAGCAGATTGTCTTCTGAGTTGGCATCAAATGAAGTCTATTTTCAAAAAGTAAATCCACCAACTCCTGGGTAAGTATCAAATAGCCTGGAGTGGTATGTGCAATACCCAGCCGCTGTGGACAAATGCCAATCAGTGGGACTCCAGCAATGTTGTGTGTTTGGATGAATGGGACACAGTTATCTTCAGCTCTGCTAGCTGCTGCTCTTAACTGCGCTGTAAATCAAGTGATGAGTTGGACACCTTTTTTCATAAAGGCATTTATTTCAATGAAAGCTTTTCATGAACGCAGTCCACAGCCTGGAGACAAGAGGTAGAGGACAGAACTTGTCATTCACACTGTCACGTGTTTCAGATTCAGACAATCCAGGAAAATGGTAGTTCACAAAAGTGGTCAGATACCACAGAAGCAGAGTGCCCTCAGCTCTCACTCAGGAGAGTGGGAGAGGGAGTGAAGAAGAACCACTGGCTTTTCTCAGGAGCACTCAGCATCTTGTAGTATTGAGCTGAATATCTGTAAGGAGCAGGAACAGACTGCAAGAAGCTCAGAGGTCTGGAGAAGATTACCTGAAGGCAGACACAGCTGGAATGGTAGGAAGGGTTTTCCTTGTATATTGGGAGGGAGCTGTGGGAACAGCTCAGAATGAGTAAGCATGCAGTCTTACATCAAGATGCAGCATTCCTATAATGTTTCCATTGCACAGGCAAGATGTATGGGAATATAAAGGGGGCTGTCAACGTGAGGACTTCAGTGTATGTTGTATATTATGCTCTGTTTCATATTGGAAGGATGGCAGGGGAAAAGTTAAAAGTGTTTCTAATATGTCACTGTCATAAAACCCTTGACATTACAGCATGTGATTTCCAAAATAGGTGACAAAAGAAGATAAGAAATATATATACGCTAATGCAAACTATGGTGTTCAGAGGAATCTTCCAAGTCTATCTTTTAAGGACTATTAAACAGAAGATCATTGTATACCTGTTGAATGGAACAAATTCTTTACTTTTTTTTTTTTTCAGATAGGTTTAAAACATATGAAGATACAACAAAATGGCAGTCAACTCTGTCATTTTATTGTTACCCACCTCAGTTAAAATACAATGGGTACAATGTATTTTACACAGCTTTCTGAGTGTTTATGTATATCTATATATGCCTCCTATATATGCATATACATCTATATATACACAATTGACATTATTTATGTATATATGTTATGAAAATGGTTAGGAAGAAGCAAGCTTGGTAGAAAATACCGATTAAAAAAGACATGTTATTGGACTATACATCCTTTTCTCTATGTTCAGTCCTTTTTTTCTTTCTTGCAATATCTCAGTGCCTCCTTTTTTCAGTCCTTTCAGTGCCTGTTCTGCCTCAGACTAATTTCTTCTATACTGTTTAATAACTCTTTTTAATTTCAAGGTACTTTTTATGACTGTCTATATTCATTCTGCTGTTCTTTTCTTTTAGTTATCTGTTTGTAAACTCATTTGTCTTTACCTTCTCCATTCTTTCATCGTTGTCACTGAAGTAGTTTTAAAGAGGGCTTTTTTGAGACTTCCTTATCATAGCAATCATTAGGAAAACCACAATCTGAAAACAGGAAGACAAAATATATATATAATTTTAATTTAGAAGAATCATGTACCATGAGCATTGGTATTGCTTCGCAAAAATTGGTATTTGCCTTTAGTCTGAACCTCATGACTTGGTCAACATGGTGGACTCTTGGACTTCCTTAACTATGGTAGCACCTTTGACAGCTCACTGTGTGTATTACTGGAGTCTCATCATGAGTATCTGGATCCGGCACTGCATAGGTGTGAATAACGTGAATATAGAACTCCCCTTCCCAGGGCTAGTTTACAACATCCAACTTGAACCTCTTGCTGTGGTGATGTGGAGTAGACTGAATTGGAGAAGTCAATTCCTAGTAATATATGCTGCCGACTGGTTCTTGTTTGACATTTCAGGGGTAGACTGATGAGCTTGGCCCTAGTTTTCCCTATGACACTATATTTATCTGCCTTTAAAGGGCCAACGTACCTGCAGATGGTCTGTTTTCATAGCTAGTAAGTAAGCACTTTGGAGAGTCTCTGTTGGCTGAGATCTTTGCCAGTGTACCCATCCAGGACCGCGCACAGATACTAGAATAGTATTTTTACTATCCTGAAAATAGCCAAGTCCAGGATTCCAGGAAATCCAGGGCAGTCGTAGCTTTGTCCAGGAAACAAAGCCTTAGGGATTACATCATCTGTCATCATCCATGATTTTGGCCACCTTCCTTAATTTTCTTTCTATGTTGCCTTTAGCTAAATGTGTTCTCTTCCTCTGTTTCCCCAAGTTTTTTTCCAAGACTTCTCTTTTCCTGTCTCTCTTACTCAGAATTCTTCTCTGAATTTCTTCTCTTCTATGATGTGTTTTCTTCTCCTCCTACACTTTCTCCAATAATCATTTTGTTTCATTTCTCTCTTCCAAATGTTCTTTTTGCCTCTTTCTTTTCATCTTTCCAGGGCTGTGACCAGGCCCAAAGAAAAAAAACAACCTTATCTCCTCCTCTTCCTTTATCCTTTATCTTTTCTGTGAGCATAATGCATAACTGTTCTTTGATTTAGATGTCCTCTTCCCATCTCTTTCCTCCCTGCAGTCTCTCTAAATATGGGTCCTCTAAATCTTTAAAGCCCAGCATCTATCTTTGCATACTTACTAACAGGAATTGCTAACCACTGACAAAATGCTCCATCTGTGTGAAAGTGGGTGTCTCTGATTAATTTTAAAGATGGATTCTCACAAGGTATATCGACAGATCTGTCTGAGGAATTGGTGGAGCCACCTTTTAACCTGGAAGGTACAGTATTCAACAAAGGATATAAATCTTCTTTAATGAAAGAAAAACTCTCTTCATAAAAGTAAAGATAAATTTCTGAGAGTGAATTTTAAGGGCAACAGTCTACAGAATTTGCTGTAGTCTGTGTATAAGGGGAGGGGGAGGTGTTCAGGAAACAGTCATTGATTGCAATCGTCTTCTGCTAGACGCTGAAAGAAGCAGCTTGAAGGAGAACTTAATTCCTAAAAGTAAGGCCCACAGTTATGACAATGTACCACAGTATTGTGCGCTAAGTCTGCAGGGCTCTCTAGCTTACAATAGTTCTCGTCTTCTGCGCTAATGTTATAATGCTAACTTTACATGATGCGGAAGGTATTGATACTGACTTGCTACTGCATAAATCTGACTTCCAAATGTCAAGGTGCCAGCAGTGTTAAAGTGATCTGTTTAGAGGACAGGGTGGAAAAGAAAGTACCATTTGTAGTTGAAGCTTTTCTGAAAGACTGTACTGTTTCCATCACTCTGTGGATTACGTGCGACTGCCTAGGGGTAGGATAAAAAAATCCAAGAATGCCGTAATTATGTGAATAATTCTGACACAGCCTTCCTTTTTTAAAGGCACCAGAAGAGATGGCATTTCATTGCAATTTGTAAATATTCTGTGTTTCTCTCATCCCTGCGGTCTCAGTGGTAGTTTCAAGAGTACTCAGTACTGGTCTAATTGTGATATTATTGAAATTAATTGTAAAACCCATTTCTCTCCAAGGAAGCTGTTAGAGCAATGATGAGTGCTTTTGGAAATATACTCTTTGTCCCCCTTGTTTTCTATCAGCTGAATTTAAAGACTAACCAGTTTTCTCTCTGAAAATTAAATGATAGACACATTCTAAAAACATTTATTTCTCTAAATATAAATATATAATCAGCAGAAACCCTTAAAGCTTTGAAACATTTTTCCTACGTATAATTAAAGTGAATCAATATCATGTTACAGCATAATTAGAAAAACAAAACAGAGGTATTAAACAGAATATAATTAATCTATTACCGTTCTGTAATTTTCCTCATCCGTGCAGTGGATGTATTTATAATTCCCTATTCTTTCGATTCGTCCTCCCCTCCTCTTTTCCCTAAACTAGCTGATGAATGGATTGTGGCTAACCCGGAGCTGACAGACAAAACGAAGTTTACTATCACTGGCCTGCCGACTGGCTCAAAAATCCTTGTGAGAGTAAAAGCTGTGAATGCTGCTGGTGCAAGTGAGCCCAGGTACCACCCACAGCCTATTTTAGTCAAGGAAGTGATAGGTAAGATCCTCCTGCCTACGCTCACCCACAAATACACTCTGCTTCCATACTTACTTCATTTTTTTAAGGCTAGTACTCTCTTGTTGGAAACTGATGATAAGGCCTTACAAAGCCATTGTGCAGTGGCTAGAAATCATGAAACCGCCTTTAAAAATACTTGTAATTCTTTTTATTTGTTTCATTTCCGAGCCTTTATTGCTCAGCCTTTCAAGGCTTTTTTTCTGCAGAACTTGAACTTGATGTTGCTTTTTTTGAGTTGCACTGTTTCTCACCTATTCCTACCACCATAACATTTGGTGTTACAAAAAACGATGGTGTACCAAAAGTAACATTGTGGGACCAAGAAATTTAAGATAGCTCACTCATTAGTCACTTCTGCGAAAAGAAGATAAATGTCAAACACAAGCTTTTGGCTTTTTTCAGAACCTCCAAAGATTCGTCTACCAAGACACTTAAAACAAACCTATACTCGAAGAGTTGGAGAAACTGTGAATCTCGTTATTCCTTTCCAGGTAAGAACTAAAAACACTGACAGGAAAATACTACTTTTTCTTATATAGCTGCTTTTTAACTTCTTTCTGTGTAACTTTGGTCTGCCAGTGAGTTAACTAACAGATGTGGAAACACACAGACGTACACAGGTGCTTGAAAGCTTTTGCTTTGACGTCTCAAAGAAATGATGTTAAGCCAATTAATGAATTGGGTAGCTAGCTTAGACAGACTGATTTTTCTTCTGTCATCCAAAGGACACTTATAAATCCTCCCAGTAGACATTACCTGTGAGATGATCGCTTGCACAATGCAAAATGGTTACACTGGCAATAGTTAGATATGGTATCAAGGGTGAGACTGACTGTAGTATTTAATCTTTTTCTTGTCTTGAGAGTGGAAAAGGGAGGGGAAGAGTGGGCAGAGTTTCACTGCCTCCTAGAGAAACTGCAACTTTTAAATCCTTGAGAACATACCTATAATATGACTCTTTCCAAGGATATAGCACGTTTTCCCACAGCATCCTGTTAACCTTCCTTCCCATAACTTTTACAACAGTGACTGCCTCTCTACCTGCAGGGTCCTTATTCTTCTGAATACAAGAATTATGGCAGAATTCATTTCTATTTCATCTCTGCACACCTAAAGATACTGGGTGAGCATAATCCGGCTTCTACAAGGCTGTTAAAAGCCTAATAAAAGCTTGATCAGCAATACATTGCAAAATACACTGCTCTTGAGAAATTAAAGGAATATTCTATGGTTATTCTCTAAGGAGGCATTCAAAAAGGTGTGAGATTACCCTTTTCAGACAGCATCTGCAAATTGTTTGCCTCTGAAAGGCAAATCCCACGGTAAAGCAGGTGGAATTCACTCCGATTTAAGTACCTAAATTGGGCACTACTAGGCCCATAAAAATGGCACACAAAAGATGTCAATCCAGCCTACCTAACAACTATTCCAATTGCTTTTGCAGTGAAAGAAGAGAGTTTGGGATCCCTGGAGGTTTAGTCCACTACTTTTCCTCTTTCACTGCCAGTGTAGAGAATGTAGGCACTTCCAGAGGGTGAAATATTTTGTTCTGCATTTTCTGTTTTTTTCTCCTTTTTCTTTTAGAAAACTGGAAATTAATTGCCAACTTTAGCCAGAAAGTTAATTGTCCAATTTAGCCTGAGTTTGCAAATATTTTCAGTCTCCTGAAAAAAAAAAAAAAAAAAAGCAAGCTGCATTTTAGGTGAATTAATATGATTGTATCTCAGATGCCCTATGATTTAAAAAAGAATTCTCAGTTTCTTTCAGGACAGTTTTTATTTCCCATTTGGGAAAAATGGGACATAAACCCGTTTTCTCTCCCACCCTTTTCTCTCCCAAAATCATATACAAATTGTTTCCTGGCTTCTTACAGGGAAGACCAAGGGCAAAAGTATCATGGCAGAAAAATGGTTCTCCAATCGACAAGAACCAAATCAACATCCGCAACACTGAAAATGACACTATCATCTTCATCCGAAAGGCAGAAAGGAGCCACTCTGGAGAATATAACATGAAAGTGGAAGTAGAGAACTTGGAGGACAAAGCTACAATAGATATTCAGATTGTTGGTATGTTTTGAGAAACAGAAGTAAATGCATGCTGTAGAAGCAGACTCCAGCCATTCCAAGGCTATAGGAAAGCAGAGGAATCCCAAAGAGCATCTTTCTCGACAGTGATAACTCACCATATCCAATTACTTGGCTATAGATTTGTGGTCTCTAAGTAAACCTCCCTACACAATGGCAGATGCTTGTTGGAACATGTCAGTCTCTTTTTTCACTGTTGTGCTTTTCATGTTCTTGTCTATCCAGGATGCAAGCCTTTTCCCATTGAGTGGTGTTCATAGCCAGAACTGGTAGTAAATTCATAGTAACTTTGTCACAAGTGTAATGTGGAAGAAATCCTAAATATTGAAAGTACATGGAAGTAGGAAAGACAGATGAGAAAACACATTCACTTTTCATTTTTACCAATCTATTTCTTTACATAATAGGCAAAACTGGTAGCACAGACTTTATAATGATTGTCTGACTTTGTCTTTTAGGAACACATCTTCAACTGGTTTTAACTTTTCCAAAATATCATGTCCTTATGCAATCAAAGAGCACATGCATATTAGAAACCATACTCACAAAGCGGTCAAGCTAAGTTCTTCATAATTCTGACATGCCTTAACTTTGAAAAGTTTTATTTTGCAACCTCAGCTTTCTTTTGACATTGGTTTTGGCACGTGCGTGTTGTAAGAAAGAGAGAGAAAAACCTAACTAAGTGGAAGATGTGTGTAGGAAGGGGGGAAAGAGAGAGAGAGAGAGAGAAAGAAAACAATGGAAAATGTCAGCTGCCACATTTTCATTACAGATCGCCCAGGGCCACCAGAAGTTGTAACTATTAAAGATGTCTGGGGAGAGAATGTGAATTTATCATGGAAGCCACCAAAAGATGATGGCAACGCTGCCATTACTGGGTACACTATTCAAAAAGCAGATAAGAAGAGTATGGTAAGTAATAAAGAGATGTTTAAAAGGCTGATGTACTCATGAATTCTCCCTTTTAAAAATAAAAAGCCTTACATGCTTAAATTGATGTAGGTGGACAAAGCATTGACTAGTCAGCGCTCAGAAAATCTGCAAGGCATCTCTAAAAATTCTAAAAATCTCCTGTTCACTGTATCTAAAGCCTAAAAATGGAAATGTTTTCAGATGATGCCAAAGAGGAGGACTAAATAGGAAAGGACAAGTGGATTTGAGGGAAGTAATTCTGCTTTTTTTCCTTTGTCTCAGTAGAGAAAATAAAACCCAGTAGTAGTTGCTACTGGAATCAAAATGTAGTGCTGTTGTTTTCAAAGCTATAACGTCACATTGTGTAAGTCATTGCCACTCCTTACTACCCATGGCAAAATGGTACATATGTAACTCGTAAACTGCTTTGAGATTTACAGATGAAAAGTGCAATATAGAGACATTTATTATTTTCATTAAACTAACATGAATTTTACACTTCTTTAAAAGAGAGCAGTTGGATTATTACATTTAACACTTACTGCAAATTTAAACACTGGAAATCTAAGACAATATTTTGGGAGTTACCTTATCTAAGGGAATCTTTTTGCCACACACACACCCCCCTTAAATATGTTGATCTGCTTCACGGTCTGATCAATTCATTCTTCCTGTGCCACTATTTCCCTTCCCATCCTTCATTTTTTCTTTCTCTTCAGACTGTAAGAAGAGATGGTCTCTGTACAGTGACCAGAACAATGATGTCCCATCTCTAAATTACTGTGTTAAGGAGAAAGCAACAACAGCAGTGTCTAGGATCCAGTGTGTCATGGATCATTCGGGTCATAGTATCCCCATATTCTCCGTGGTGTTGAATTTTGCAATTCTGGCACAGCTGGCCTTCTACAGAAAACTCTTTTCCCAAAGGGCACTTTGGCTTTTAAAGATGACCAGATATCAATGCAAACTGTGGCACAGGGAACTCAGCACAAGTTCATCTTTAGAAAAGCAAGAACACTATGTAGGGCAGAGTAAAGAAAAGCAAAAACATTGCTGTGGTCATATTGTGCTTCATATTAATCGCATTTTTAGCATTAAACTCATTCACCTCAGTTTGTTATTTAGCTATTGTGTGCTAGGATAGAGATCACACGTCCTGTTACTGCTGCAAGACTAAAGCGCTAAAACCCACCTCCCCATCTGAGCCTTTAGATACCAGAGGACCACCTGCATAGAATTACATTTCTCATGAACACTCAACCTGTGGAACAGGGGCTAGATTAGCGCATTGGCCTCTTGTGAGTACATGTTACTGCAGAGTAGTGCATGCTACTACTTTTCTTACCTGCAGCAATACCTTCTCTGTCAGCAGTGTGGACTAGGAATGATCGCCTCCCCATCTGAGCCTTTAGATACCAGAGGACCACCTGCATAGAATTACATTTCTCATGAACACTCAACCTGTGGAACAGGGGCTAGATTAGCGCATTGGCCTCTTGTGAGTACATGTTACTGCAGAGTAGTGCATGCTACTACTTTTCTTACCTGCAGCAATACCTTCTCTGTCAGCAGTGTGGACTAGGAATGAAGGAGCCTGCATTGCCTCGCCTCACACAATACAACCTTTGTAATATTGGATTTCCTGAAACAAACGCTCCCAGCTAAGAGAGCGTAACAATTCAGTAGGGTTCACTTTCCATTTGGCCTTCACTGCTCAGCAGTGAGCTCTGTGGTATTCTCATTATCGCTCATTTCAGACAGAAGAATTAATTCTTGCCAGCTTCACTATTTTAGTATCCATTAACATTCCCTTAAAAGAAAAGTCTTACTCCCACGAGCTTGATGATTCTTCCAAACAGTTAATGGCTGAGAGGTGCAGGGTGCTGCGGGGAAGCTTACTCTCTGTGTTTGTGTCTTTCAGGAGTGGTTCACAGTAATCGAGCACTACCACCGCACCAGTGCCACCATTAACGAGCTCGTCATAGGAAATGAGTACTACTTCCGGATCTTCGCTGAAAACATGTGCGGCCTCAGTGAGGATGCAACGATGACCAAAGAGAGCGCTTTTATTGCAAAGGATGGTTAGCTAATTATCCATTCCTTGTCAAAAGGGAAGGGGTGTGTTCGGAGGCTGGAAGGTGGTTAGAGGTAAAGGCCATATCTCTAAAACATTCAGATGCATTCCTAGCCCCAAGACCAGGTACAAGTAACAGCTAGGACATTTCATATTAGGACTTCTCAGTTTGTCGGCATTGTTCACAGTTGGTTTTTTTTAATCAAGAGTGGGACATTTTTCCCATGTTCTGACATTTTCTACGATCTTGCATCTCATACTCGTGTCACCACTGGCAGTTCCAAGTTGACAAGAGCTGGAAGAGGAGTAAAGAAGCTGTTCAGTTAGAAGCGGTGGGTTCTGTTAGAATCCTGCCTCCTGTTAGTGGAGACTTGGCATCAGTTGTGCAAGTGCTCCCGTCCATTTCAGGCAGGATCCAACAGATAAGCGTAACCCCTGCTTCACATCTCTTGCAGGTGGAGCTGGACAAATTCTGATTCTGTGGTCACAAATCCTGACATTTCCCAAATTGTCAGTTTGAAGTGGTACTGTAAACTTTAAAAAAAAAAAAATAAACTGTCCCTTTATGGAAGGGAAATTCTACAGACAGGTGGTTTAAAGGAAGAAAATCAAACCAGATTACCTCAGTTTGTCTGAAAGAAAGGAATACATGACTGCCATGATGCAGAGGACAGACAACCTGTACAGACAACACAGTGACAGGCTGAAGGACTGAAGGCCCAGGGTACTGGACCCCACTTCCATTATTAAAAAGAAAACTACCTCTCTTTTAGAAATGGGATCATGAACAAAAAAAATGGCTATAGGAATTGTTTTTCATCACTGCTTACTTGCCCTCGTCATGAGAGCAAGTATCAGGCCTAAGCTACACTGAAGTCAGTACGAGAGCTTGGATCAGGTGTTGGTGAAGCAAAGATGTTTAATGATACCTGTGCACAGGAATAGATGAGAGTCTGTCCAGCTGTTTTAAATGCCAGCTTAGTTTGTGGGTGAAGATGATTTATTGATGGTAATCCCCATTGCAGAGCAGGGATAAAGTGGCAGTGAGAAACTAGATTTTACTACCAAGTTTTCCTTGTACAGAAACTACATCCACTCGGGTATCTGTATTGTTAGTGCACTGTATGAAGCAGAAAGAAAAATGGATTTTCAGATACAGAGCCAGTTTGTAATCAGAACAAATGGTGAAAAGTAATTGGCAACAGAGTGAACACGGCTTGTCAAGGCAGCCATCCCGCAGTTCATCAGCCAGGATGCGTCCTGTTCTGTAACATGCAGGGCATGCAGGCAAAGACACAGAATAAATGTGTATTATTTTGTATACCACCTACTCAGGAACCAAAGAGAGGCTCTCAGACATCTACCCTATAGCATGACCAAGGGCTATAGTCACTTCCCAGGCTCACTTCCAGCCTCCCCTACAAGTGCAACTACTAGAGTCAGGTTGGTACCTAAAGCAGTGCAGATCAGAACAGATTCAGACTCCTTGTAGCTTTTTAAGATGCTTGGGTATTTAGCTACATGCCAACACTCTTTTTATAAATGTTTTATTTTCATTTCATAGGTAAAGTCTACAAATACCCAGTTTACGATGATTTTGACTTCAGTGAACAGCCGTTGTTTACTCAGCCTCTAGTCAACACGTTTGCTGTAGCTGGTTACAACGCTACTTTGAACTGCAGTGTTCGGGGCAACCCCAAGGTACAGCATAGCTCGTAACACTATCATCAGTTAAAACACAAGGGAGTTTAACCTGACAATAAAAATTGTGATACCATTTTTACCATTTGTCTCTCTCACAAGCCAGGCTGAAGGCAAAGAGAGTGGTGTGGACTCTAACGAATACAAAAAAGGACCTACTTACCTGTGTTATAGGCATTATAATAGTTACTAAATCCACAGATAACTCAGTGAAAGGGCAGAACCTCAGGAAAAGGCTGGGCTATACTGGGACCGGCACTGACAACAGCTGTACAGTTAATAGTAAAGGTTGTTAGTAAAATAAAGACATAATTATTCTATAAAAAGCTAATTATGCTTTAAGAAAGCGCATTACAGGAATACTCTGGGGACCACGTTGGTTCTCAGACGCCCTGTGCAATGCATCTTCCAGTTTCTTTTGAGTTGTGTCTTTTTGTGATCTGTTTTCTGTTGTGAAAAACTGAACTGACCTAGTAAAATGAGAACTCAAGAGTGTTTAAGAACGTTTGCTGTTCACTCTTCACCTTCACAGTTTCTGACTGTTCTGTGTGCAATACTGTGAAAAATCATGTTTTTCTTATTGACTTAGAGTAACTAGATGTCAAAAGCTATTGCTCAGATGTTTGCTATCGTTACACAGGACCTCTTATATTGATAACAGGCTTACACTTATGACTTTAATTATGTGATAGGAGCTGTACTGAAAAAATCGTGCTTAAAAACAGATGCACGATGCAGCCCGTGTTTATGTTTGAGTTAAGAATTACAGTTTCCTTTCTATCACTATTTTATCTATTTTGTATGATTTCTGGATTATTCAACTTCAACAGAACACCACAAAAAGTGATAAAATATTTAAGTTCATAGGTTTGTGCATGTGGGTTTTCTTCTGTTTTTACCACAGCCCAAAATAACCTGGCTGAAAAACAAAGTCATTATAATGAATGACCCAAGGTACCGAATGTTCAGTAACCAAGGTGTCTGCACCTTGGAGATCCGCAAACCCAGTCCCTATGATGGAGGTACTTACACTTGCCGAGCAGTCAATGAACTTGGAGAGGCAGAAGTTGATTGCAAACTGGAAGTAAAAGGTAAGGGTTTTAAATCATGGCAAATGCTCTGTTTGTCTGAATACCATCTGCATAGGAGTCAAAAGTATGCAAGGCAAATGCAAAAGGGAGTCCAAACAAGTTTTTTAACTTTCCTGGATGAAAATAATAACTTTTTTTTATAAAAAATAAACTATATTGGTTGCTTTGCTTTCTTTTTGAGGACCAACGTGCTGTGCTTATGCTATATTGCCTTCCCCCACACACACACCAATTCACATATTCAGTGATTGCAAAGACTTTTTCCACAAGTGACAAAATGGTAGACTATACCTCTTAGAGCTGTGCCACTTACCTGGCAAACTCTAGTAAGCCTCAGCCACAGAGCTCTTTGGGAAAAGATGAAAAAACTCAGCTTGGATAAGAGACAGATCTCTGAAGGAAATGGCAAGGGGATAAGGAGAGAAGGAAGAAAGATTAGTTCAGGGCAGTCTTTGTCTGCCTTAAAATTATGTATTAAACAAACCAAACATTCGCTTCCAAGGAAAACTTCTTAATGTAGTTTGTTAGCAAAATCATGTAGCAAAAAGCAGTATTGTTCCCAAGGACAGAAGCTAGTTGATATAATTGCTGTATTTGCGTTAAGAACAAAGTAATCAAAACCATGGATTTTGCAAATACAGGGAAAGAGGGTGAAGGAGGTTAGCCTTCTACAACTGAAGACATATCTTTATTTTCATTAATAGATACATTTTATGAATTCCAGGTAGTTTAGCATTGACTGGGATATCACGAATGGCAATAGGATTTGGATTGGACTACTAATGAATAATCTCAGGACCATATTTTTCAGAAAATTATTTCCTAGGAAAAGATGGGGTCATATTTAGGTGGACTAACTCCCACCAAAGGCTTTTGCTTCAACTGTGGAATAAGCTAAGCATTTCTGAAAAAATTAATTTGAGGTCATAAGTAAGGAAAGCTGCCTAAAGCCAGATGATAGGAAGTGTCTAACTCAGGAACTTAGAGGGATTTTAGGCTAGCTGAATATGGCCGTAATTATATTATTTCCATCATGCTAGTCTATAATGAAAACTGTAATATTTACTATTCTTATGGATTGTATTGTGTTTATTTTGGATTTCAATTTCCATTTTCTGTATTTTCTGATGTATCTTGTCCCACAGCTCAAATCTGCTAGCAAGAAGCCATTGCAATACATGTTTGGTCTATGAAGTTGAACATTTAACTAATGTAATGAAAATATGCATAATATGTTTCTTAATTTTCATGATTTATTTTTAAGACACTGTGTTTAAAAGGTGATGTCCTCATCCTGGAAGTATGATTGTTTTCCTTAATCACAAGCAAACTGTCTATTTCACAGTGTAACAGAAGACCTCATCACCTGAGAAGGCTGCTTCATCTATTTTTTGATACCGAAAGGCCACATTAGTTTGCCATCTTATTAAACTTCCTAAGTCCCCAAGCCCTAAAGTTCTTACGCACGTTTATACTCAGCTGTAACTTTTTTATCTTCCGCACTTTGCTTGTAGTACAACAAAATACTACATTTTAAATACAAGAAGCTCTTTATTTCTGTCCTTTGTTTTACAAAGAATTTTTTACATATAATGTGCGGAATACTGTGAAACATTTTTAAGATAAGGAATAATTTAACTAATATCTCTCCATTTTAGGAAGTCCAAACTCCAAACATTGCCATGGATTACATATTCTTCTTCAGTAATTCCCTTTCCAGCTGTTGTGAAATATAGATGCTTCTGTTGATCTTGGAACTTTTTTCACTGAATATCAGGATGAATTAAGTTTGCTGGTTTTGAACCATAACACAAACACCATGTCTTCATTCAGGCTCTCTTTTAATATGCAACAGTTCCCAAGAAATTGTTCAGCAGCAGTGGAAGCTGCTCTATGTTAGAGTTTTTAAGAGACAAATGTGAAGAGATTTTTGCCTTTGATCAATACTGATGGGGAGTTTAATTTCTTACATTTATGGACGTTTATGGAGTGGTATCTGAAATAGGCTGGGAATGCTTAGATCCTTTTCCAGTCAACTAGAAGTAATGTCTCTAGGAAAAAAGCTACAGTTCTGTTCATTAAAGCGGTTACCAGGTACAGCTAGTCCCTGATGATTTTTGCTGACAAATGTTCGTTTAACTTTCATAGGTCCAGTTTTCTGAGTAGTGTTCTGAAATGGAGAGCACATGATACACTATGTTCACAGGCTGCCAGGCCTGTCCCATTCGCAGCTGATTCTTTCCACAATGGCTGCATTAAAGATTAAAACCAAAAAAATTATATCTGGCAACATGGCAGCAAACATTTAGGGTAGACAACAGTCAGAGCAGAGAAGCACTAGAGCAGATTTCCTGCAGAGGTTGTAAAGCCTTTGGTACCAAGAGCCTTTAAGAGCAGCTTAGAAGAATGACAGCAGTACAATTTGTTAGGATTATGATATGCACTAAATGACATCTCAAGATTGCTCCCAGCTCTGTGAGTCTGAGATTTTGACTCAGTTCTTAACGTTGCCGACACACCCTAGCACCTCAGTCAGATTCAAGTATCCCCCGATCATTCATCCCACAGGAAACCTTGGATAGATGCATGGGCTTTGCATCACGTCCTGAGGGCTGTACTAATCATCCTATCAGCTGGTTGCAGCACGTCCTACAGTCTCAACTCCTCTGGCACCTTATCTTGGGGTTGCAGTTGAACATGCCTTTGCTACAGTGAGAATGGGGCTGTAAGTTATTCCCCTTAGACAAGATTTAGTTCACCCTTTCCCACTTTCAAACAAAACCTCCCACACCCACTGACTGCAAAAGGCTTGTAGCATAGACATTTCTAGACTCAAAAAGCCTTCTTTCTTCTCAAAGAAAGTAATATTTACTTTAAAAGATCAACTGAAAATATTGAATACTATGCCATAGACATCTTGCTCGGAGCAGTACTTTAGTTTTTGCATCACACCTGGAAGAAGTCCTGAAAAATGCAGGCTGTTAGGATCCCACCTGGGCTGTGTGTCGTTTCTCTCTTCTTAGCTATGTGATGGGCTAAATACCACCTCCCCTAGTTAATGGTTGGTTTCTGAACCCAGTCTCAAATCAACCATCACCTGGTGCAGTCTCACTTCCTCCCACCAAGCTTTGTATTGTGGTTTTCTCCCAACAGTTTGGGCTGTGAGTGGTCACCCTTGCTGAGATTCCTCTCTCCATCCTGGCACGCTTAGCCATTACTTTAGACTCCTTTTTGAAGACTGCTTAGACTAGCAATTTGTAGGGCTTAGACACAGGGCAGCTGTTGTAAGGGTTCAGTGCTGACACTCTTAACATGACCGGCAGTTCAGCTGATGAATTCAAAGGGAATAGGATTAAGCGAATACAGCAGCTGTAGCTTGGCAAACCAGGGTAGGTTCAGGGTTTGCTATATGATACAGGCAAACGCAAATGAGTATTAAACAGCTGGAGCATAAAAACATAATTACGTCTTACTTCACTCTTCTATTGACTTATGTGTTGAGTTACCGTTCTCTGAAGTTTCCCAGCCTCTTTGTTCAATTAGGAGGGCTCTTCGGATGACTGCTCATCACACTGACACAGAGCAGAGTTACGGATTTCCGACTCACTGGAAATGGATTGCAATCTGTGTGTGTGTGTGTGTTTTCACATGTATAGCTTTGAACTGGTTCAGCTTTACTCCAGCAAGTAACTATCAAGGTCTGAGTTTGTAAAATGATGAGATACAGCTGAATGTTGCCTGAATATGACCAACAGGCTCAAGGCTATGCTACCTATCTGGTGAATGTACTAGCTACAGTGCTATTCTTACAGGTCTTTGGATAGTAAGTCATGCTAAAGAGCTCTATGCCATGCAGCAGTATATACTGCAGTAAGTGAATTTTCCTTATATTGGCTAGAATTTATTTTATCCATCTATTTCTGAGGTGTTGGAGACCTGAAATTTATCATGCATATATATAAGCCCAGTCCTAGGAATGTCATAGAACTACTCACAGAAAAGTGTAGGATTTCTGATTTTGCATAGTATTTGAACAACCGAGTAGCTATGAATACTCTGGCTATGAATACTATCAGTATGCTACAATTTTCTACTTTTTTAGCCATTCACTTACAGTATTTTAGTGCCAAATTAAAACCCCTAGTTGTTACTAAATTTAACGCTCATTTCTTGAAAAATAATTAATGATAATTATGAGCACAATAATAAAAACATAAAAATAATAAATTCTTATTCGGTCCTCAAAAAAAAGGGGGGGGTTGCGTTTACTGATGTCATTTCAGATAGACAGTACTTCATTCTTGTATTTTCAGTTTTGCTGAGTGAACTTAAAGATGGCAGTTATATAAGCTGCTCAGTACAACTGTACGTACAATGGCTTTTTTTGTAAATATAAATGTGCTGAAAAAAGTCATAATAGATCTTAGACAAAAGAATAACTCTACCTCATATATCTTGAAAGATAATGCATACACAGAGTCTAATTATATATATTACGTAAGGAAAATTCAAAATAGATATCTTTTAAGTTTGAGGTAGATCCCTAACTATGGCTGTAAATCTCTCATCACAAGCAGTAAGGAACTGATTCCTTATCAGCTTCACTGAGGTCAATGAAAAGATTCAGATAAAGCACCGTGCTTCTTTTATCATGAAACAAATGTTTTTGGAGAATGTTTATCTTAAGAGCGAAATCAAGGCTGGTGATCACTCTAATAGGTTGAAAATAGCAAAGATGCTGTATAAGAAATATTAAAAAATAAGGTGTTAAGATCAACTGGGAAGAATTTCAAATGCGAATAAATACCGCTATAAATATTCTAATTCTGCAGTGATATATCATGGAGTAATTAACCCAGGAGAACCATTCTTCTTGGCGGGGAATAATCAGGTTTATAATAAGCATACTCCTCTGGACATTCCATTTCATTCCCTTCCTATCCTTCCACATGCAAACGCATTTTCTGCATGCAAAGTGTGCATTTATTTGCTTTTTTAGATTAAACTAGCTAGTGTCTCATGGCATACAACGTCTATGTCACATGAGCAAAGAAGGCCAAATTAATCAAGAATATGGGTATTTAACATCTGAGTTAAAAAGGTTTTAGACATATTTCTGCTATACCACTGGGCATAGAACTACCTGTACCTATAAAGAATTTATTTAATGACTGTGACTACCTTTGACCAGAACACTTAGACATTTCCGGGAGACAGAAATTTGAAAAACAGCTCTCAGTTAGCTTGTAGAGTTATTGAAAGAACAGAAGTATCATAAAGTCATTTGCTGTGCTTAAAAGGCATTCTTTATTACAGAATTATAGTCTTTGGTTACAAGTTAGTGCTGAGAGTGATAATCCATGCCTGAGCTTGCATTACGGAATCTAAGGATGAAATCTTGATCCAATTGAAATCAGTGAAAACTTTTTACTTACAAGCATATAATTTTACTTCATTTCCTCTGGAGCTTATTTTAAATTCAGGTTCAGTGGGGTTCAGAAAATTTGGTTCTTTCTATAGAAATGTGTTTGCTTGTAACCTTGCCCAAATCCAGAATATTGGCAGTGCAGTTTTAAAATGTCAGAGATGCCCAGAAACTAGTCTCCAGTATATTACGCATCTAAATTTACTATTTTAAACCTAAAACATGTTAAGAAATTAGGCTAGATAATGTTCCTGTAGTATCTGAAGTATTAAGGTATTTATCTTAAATGGCTACAATAGGCACAAGGTTGAGTGCTTTTATATACGTACATATGTAAGTATATACATATGGATGTTTTGTAGAGTCAAAATGTTTAATTAAAGGTGAGGGCTCCTATAGAGTAAATAGCATGCTTTAAGTAATGTAAATGTGGATATGTGGCAAAGTACATACTTTAGTGCACAGGTATGTTATCAGTCTGTGCTTGATTATTTTGCCTTACAGAATTTTGACATATATATATATGCTTCGGTGTTATGCGTGTGCTTTTTTCCCCTGGTGGAAAATACTATATATATATATGTGTTAAATTCCTTGAAGCTATGTTTGGAAACTTTCATCATAAATGTCAGTTGCATAATTTGGTTCCAATCTATACTTTAGACTAATTACAGGAGTTATAGTTACTTGTACATATTAATATAGCTTTTACATATTAATGACAATTTTGAAGTGGAACTGGATCCCTACCTTTTACTCTTCATGTGCTTCTACTCCTACATATTTTACATGACTAAGGATTAAAACATCATCTTGACATAATTGTAAGCATAATTTCACTCAACATTTTCTCTCTACTTTTGTGTTTGCGATTAAATTGTTACTTCTCTTTCTCTCTCTCCCTTAGTTACACAGTAAGGATTTTTGAATGTATATTGTCATCTAAGGTAAGCTTTCATATGGTTCTTGCATATGAAGCTTATGGCTGTTTACACGTCATACAATGTCTGCCTAGTATGGCATGATTTTCATTATTTCACTTAATGAAAATGTTTTTTAAAATGAGTAGCACGGTAGTTTTAATGCATATAAATCCAGATTTTTAAAATAATTGCTTGTTACGGTAATTCCTCCTAGTAGTACATCCCACTACCTTCTAATAGTGCACGTTTCAATGGGATTTAACAGTGCATGAGTTAGCATGATTAATTAGCATGAATAAAATGCAAATAATAACAGCATTTTGCATTTACAGTCAGTTATTTTCATATAGGAATATACCTCTACATAAATGAAATATTTATTCCACAGTTCATTTCATTTAAAAATGAATGATTTGTATCACAACTTGCACTACGTGAGTTGAAAAGAATGCCAAAAAGCATGCCTTTTTTTTGTCTGAATTGTGCATCTACCTAAGGTCAGGAGCGAAGAGTTCTGCAACAGTGACGGTGTTAAATGAGACAGCACAGTCTCATAATCACTGGTAACTAATAGCACTTCAATTGGATAATCCTTGTGTTAATAAAGGTTATAAAATCCTAAAATCTGTACTCAGGATAAATGCTCTATGTAAGTATCCGCTCAGTTGCACTTAGCTGAAGCATTCAGAGACAGTGATATCTTCATCCTGGCAATGTACTTTTGCTTTAAAGCTTTTGGTGTGTTCCAGAAAAGGCTCCGAAGGTAAGTGCAGTCATTAGCAGGTGGTTTTGCAACTTGCAGAATGGAATACTCCTGCAGACTTGTAAGAGGAATAGTAATGGTACATAGCTTTCTTACCACAAATGCCACCCTTCGCCTCGCGAAAGGGCAGGCTCTAATGCTTTTGGCAAAATATTTATCTTTTTCCCACTGTTCCTTCCAAATGTCATTTGATTTCAATGAAATTAACAGAAATACCCATGTCTTTAGTTTCCATGACATTTTTTTCAATGGCATGAAATTTCACTCCTGATTTGGATTATTTGTATTAAATTACTACTTCTACATCAGTGGGATCTGTGGTGCACTGGCTGGTGTGTTAGGCACTACATACATGTTTTTCTGGGCACTGAAATATTTTGTCTTGGATTGCTAAAATTGTTAGACGTTCTTCAAAAATCTTTTGCCTTGTCCCTTCTTCCAGAACACCAAAGAAAACATTGAGTACTTCCAATGGCTTTCTTATAAGCCTAGGTTTCTATTATAGCAGTGATTTAAAATAGGTTTGGTTCAGTTTTTTACCCACGGTGGCTAAGCCACAGTCAAAAAGCGCAGGTCATCCCAGCTGTTATTTTCAAGCAACATGGTAAATATTTTGCTAAATACTTATAAACCATTATAAGACCCAACACTAGAATAATTTGAATGTCTCTGCATGTTTTCCACAACTCATCATAGTCAAGTGTTTTCTACATTGTTCCCTCTGGGTTGACTTCCATCTCTGACTATATTCCACCCAGCCTGATGGAAATCCAGGAGGGTTATTTGAGGTGAAGCTTATCGTAGACTATTGCATGGGGTGAGATAAATGACTGAATATATGACATCCTAGAAATGAAATTCACCCTGCGCAAGAGGACAGGAAAGTTCTGTGTAGTACAGAGATTAAATAACGGTTAATTCTTGTGCTGGACTTTTGAACAGGGATGAATTTTACCCCGTCTCAAAATGAAGTATGCAATAGGGACTGACAATCTTTGTCTCTTACGCCAGAAAATAAAGGTAGAAAGCTCTTGCTCCAGGGACCTTCAACCTGAAGATTGTCTTATTCCTTGTTTGTAGGTGGGCTTTCGTTCTTCAGACTATTGATGGATGGAGTGCCTCCGCATATCATTGATTCATATATGCGTGAAGTACAGGCAGACAAAACTGAGGGGAAGTGAGAGTCCGTCCACAGTGTTTTCTCCCACTGCGCTGGAAATTGGTAGCAGAATTACAGCATTTTAGTTCTTGCAATGACAGAACAAACGTGTGGTTGGGGATTTTCTTTTTTTTTTCCCCTTTCTTTTTTTTTGTTTCTTGTTTTGTTTTCCCTACCTGCTCTTACTGAAAAGAAAGAATACGCATGGATTGCTTTGGGGTTGAAATTAAATGAACTGAAGACAACACACGTTTTGTAATGTTCAGCTTTATTTTCTGTTTGATATTGTGTTCTGGTTTTTAATGAGGAAAGAGGAGAAGCTGTGTAATAAACATGAGGAGGCAGTCAGAGTTTGTACTCGGTGGTACAAAGCATTATCTTTCTCAGACTGAAAGTACATGGATTAGCCAGTAGCTGTGCAATAAGACCCTTGGAATACATACCTCTAATAATGTATCTTATGCACCTGAGAATTGTTTAACAGAATATGGTTTTACTATAACGTAATTAATACATATGTACTTAATGATCATTTAAGCTGAACATATCTTCCTTTAGAAGTTTTGATTTCCTAAATCCAACCCATCAGTCTCTCAACTGAACTGAAATTGTTTTATTTAATGTACAATAAATATGAAGTGTTTAAGATCTACCAAGTTCTTGTTTACTTTTCTTTTTTGGCTTTTTTCTGCCTCATCTTACTACATTTCTTATTTAATTTCCACATACTGTAAAGCAGGAACTTGAGCCCACCACACTGAGTGGAAAACAGTATCAGCAGTCACCGAACCCAACGGGCTTACACTTCAAGATACATGGCACAGAATGTGAGTGAAGATAAATGCTATAGATACATGCAATTTTGTATCTATACGTTTTCAATATTTTAAATATAAACGCCAACCGTGACAGCTTTCAGCATTCTGGATCTGCCCCCTTCCTCAGCAATGCATGGAGCTCTTGTAGGTATCGTAGCAGAAAAGGAACTGAGACCGTATCACTAGTGAGTTTACCATGCAAGGCAAAAATGCCTTAGATAAGGTAAAATGGCTACATTGCTTTTCCAACTCTAGCGTCATTAATATCCAAGTATTTCAGGAGTGGTGGTGATTGTCTGTAAGTCTCCAGCAAACTCTGAAGCGTGTGAGACACAAGGTCACACATAATTTGGCCAGGTTGTCGATTCCCTATTGTCCTGTCATTTATTTACCAGTTCTCACTCTGGCTGTATAGATAGGGTAGGTTATGCGCTTACTGACTAATGATTGATCTTCAATTATGGTTTATAAAGATAAAGGTCTACTTAGACCAGTAGTACATTACAAGATGGTTATTTGACATCAGCGCCTTTTCAAACATCCAGCAGTCAGTAATTATGCAATAATAAAAGAATGTGTTACTATGAATCGCCATCCCTGAACTGGTGTTTTTTCACTTGAATTACCACTTCTTTCACCTTGAAGATCTGAATGCATTTTCTCACTTAACGTTCTGTAAATCTTACTTGCTCTGAGATCCTTTTTCTTCCTTCTCTCCTTCCTATCTTTGTGATTTCTTCTGTGCTGCCATCTGTGCAAGGAAGCAATCCTCCCTTCCCAGTGATCCCGGACACCCCCCACCTGCATTTCACCCTGCTGCTGCCAAAATCAATTCGCTCCTACACATTCATTCACACCTACACATGAAAGAAGGCAAAACATCTACTAAGAAGAAAATACCATAAAGGATTAATAATTTCTCTTTATTCTGTATCTCACCAGTGAATCGGGTCTCCCTTCATCTGTTCTGAAGCACAGAAGGCTGTGGGAGAGGGTGAGTTTGAACATATGCCATGCAGGTTTAAACATTTAAGCACACGGCCCTCATTTAAAATAATATCAGTCTGTTGAGATATATTATAATGTCATGGTTTAACCTCAGCCAGCAACTGAGTACCACACAGCTGCTCGCTCACTCCCCCCCCCCGGTGGGATGGGGGAGAGAATCGGAAGAGTAAAAGTGAGAAAAACTCGTGGGTTGAGACAAAAACAGTTTAAGAATTGAAATTTAAAAAAATACTAGTACTACTAATAGTAATAAGAATACACAAAGAAAGTGATGCACAATGCAATTGCTCACCACCCACCGACCGATGCCCAACCACTGAGCGTGATGTCACATGGTGTGGGACACCCCTTTGGCCAGTTTGGGTCAGCTGTCCTGGCTGTGCCCCCTCCCAGCTTCTTGTGCACCTCCAGCCTTCTCAGTCGGTGGAGCATGGGAAGCTGAAAAGTCCTTGGCTAGTGTAAGCACTGCTTAGCAACAACTAAAACATCAGTGTGTTATCAACATTATTCTCATCCTAAATCCAAAACACAGCACTGTACCAGCTACTAGGAAGAAAATTAACTCTATCCCAGCCAAAACCAGGACATATAGTCAGCCCAAAAGCTATAGATATGTCGAGTTTGTGCTTTTCAGTAAGCCAAAAAGGATGTGCACAGCCATCTGCACTTATATGCAACGGTGTTTACAGCTTCAAGCTTATGTATCTATCTGCCTCCTCAGTCTTAATATACCATACATATTAACCTGGAAGCCAGCATAAATCTCAGCTTCTGTAGGCTCTCTGCCGATGGAATTAGCTACTCTAATTTCTACCAGATGCCAGCAGTGTTAAAAGACAAGCTGAACTAAGCTACTTTTCACCGTGTGAACGGTTAGCGTTATATTCAGATGCCCTTAATTCCTCGCCAGTTGTGCTGCCCAGCATTTGCCATTGGCTGTCCCTCAGGCTTGAGATGCGCCACGCCAATAGGAAGTACTGGGTATCGGGCCACGGGTGGAATTTAGGTGAGTGAGCATTAGTGTGCTATAAATTCATACTCTCACTAACTACGCTGACCAGCCAAGCCTCTGGATTAAAAATTAATTGAAAAAGACTTTGAGAGGAATAATAGGATGGGGTGGGATAGGAAAGGGATTTCTAGTAGATCTAAAACAGGCTGCAGAACCTTAAATAGAGAATAACAAAAGATAAAGTTTTGATTTATGATGATTCACCTAATGGGATTCTCCAGGGATGGTGTTTGATAGATCAAATAAAGTGACCAAAACCACAGAGTTAAGAAAATGCTAATGAAATCTGCAGTTAATACCAGCTTGGGAGAATAAAGACGTACCAAAGATAACAAAAACTACAGGCACGGCGACCTAGAGAGAATAGAAGCAGCAGAATATCATGCTGTAGAAGAAATGCTCCCAAGAAGAAATTTCTCCAAAGTAGGCTCACATGGAATTTCCAGGAAATTAGTGAACGTGAAAGAGACATAGGAGTAACAGAGGACAGCAAATAAAATCTGGTCACATGAGAGAAAGTAACAGCAAAGCACAAAAGCTCCAGGAGAAGTGAAACTAGTAGTGCTTTCCTGGCTTACGGTTGTGTTCCTTGACGTCTCTTAAGATGTGAAACCAGTTTAAGCCTTCAGCTAGTTGCATTATTCATATTATCTGTTTGCCATGTACACTCTCCATCAACTAGTATGTGCTGAGTTCAGTAGCACCTTTAATAAGGATTTTCTTTTCTGCCCACTTTCACGTATCTGGTAGGAATTTAGTATTTTTGAAAGCTCCGCCTTGGTGTTCAGTTTGACTTACACAGGTCAAGGAAAGCTGTCACCTGGAGTAAGAAGGCAGACCCAAACATGTATACACACACAGATACACACACAGAGAAAGAAGCAACAAAGTTAATTAAAAAAAAGGGGGTTATTTTTAAGGAAGCCAAAGGAAAATATTTTGTCTTCTCTTGGCTTGGTCTCCTTGCCCATGGAACAGCATTTGGTGTATAAATGTTACTGTTGTATAAATACAGATCCATTCTCAAATTGCTGTATGTGGAGCTTGATGCAGGCATCGTAGTTACCCATTTGCATTGAAAGATCATGGCCAGTGTCAGCCCATCTCTCCCTCACTGAAAACAATCTCACAAATATAGAAAGGGAAGGAGAAAAAAACACATGCAAATCTTTTAAAGACTGCTTAAATAGGGATATGCTGTTTATAAGGTCTTTACTGAGAGTCAGAAATTTTAAAAAATATTCCTTTAAAAAAAAAATGTTTCAAGCTTCCTGTACTTCATTTTATGGGAAAAAAAAGTATAATACTGCTACCTTTTACAGAGCATTGTGAAGGGAGACTTACTTTATGAATGTCTTTTGTTGCATTTTGGATTCTGGAGCAAAGGCATTCTATTTTAAGCACAGTGTACTTACTGTCACTTGATTTTCATGGCCTGCTTTCCTGACTGACAAGTAAAGCTGCTGCTTTGCTGAAGCAGAGAGCATTTGGAAGCAAAAGTGTATACTGAATACTGAGGAAGTGCTGCAAGTCTAAACACACTGGACTTTAAATTCTATGTTCTCTTGTTCCATGCTTTGTTGCCGAATACTTTTTAAATTAAAACAAACCCTTCCCCAAGCTTAGTGATAAATTCAGTCGGGACTCTGTTTCTTCCTCTACTCATTTGGCCCTCACTTTTTACACCACTTAATTTCCCCTCCATTTCTTTTCCTAGTTTGTTTTCTCTTCTTTTCCTTTTGGCATCACAAAAAGCTTGAGCAATCTCTCCATAAATAACAGTACCATTGTGTTCATCGACCACAGTGATGCACAGGGTATTAAAAGAAACAAGAGTTTTACCTTTTTCCAAACCCAGTGATTCCAGTGGACTGGGGATGTGGCTGGTTGTGAATCTAATTGTCACATCTCCCTTTTGCCATTCTCTAGTTGGCCGTTATTGAATCTTTCTTTATTACGTTATGTATTACCCCCTCCTTTGCTGGCAGTTCCTCTCACCTCTGTTTTGGCCCCTAATCCCAATTGCTGTATCATGCTGTTTTTACTGTTCTGTAAATGAAATCAGCAGATGAACAACATAGCACTTGGGACACACATACCATGTCAAGGGATTTTGAAATCACCCTTTTGCATATGTCACCCATTTCTGACCCTAGCAGTAGAGAAAGCTACTCAAAAACATATTAACTTTATCAGACAAAGGGAATTAGCTCAATTTGAGTAACACGCCACTGCACTGTCCAAGAAATTGTTGCGTCTGGCCAGAAAGCTGCAGCCTCTGGCCCACAATGGAATAACTTAAAAAAAGATTTCCGATTCTAAGAAGATGCCACTTGGGTATATAATACTCATCAGAAGTTGTATTTTATACTTTCTACTTAATCTTTCATACAGCTACACAGTACTTACCTTTCCTTAGCCACATTCAGAAACCACACTTTCCCAGAGAGTCAGGGATACACCTAAATCCTTCACATGACCAATTCAAATAATTTGAAGTGCCGCAATTTCTGAAAAGGTGCATTTTTTTCAAAGCACCTTCTCTAAGCAGGTCAAGGAGGTAAAGGCAGTCCTGCGTAACACAGTGTTCAGGTGCCCCATAACATGTAAGATGGCCGCTCCCCAGGGGGCAGTGGGTCTCCTCCCAGTGGCGGACAACCCCTTGGCTGATACAGTGGGGATCACCTCCCTGCAGACATGGCTGTGGTGTCCTGCTGGCTGCAGGGAGCCCACCTGCCGCCCAAGCCCTGCCTTTATGCCTTGCTCCAGCATCAAGCCTCGCCGGCCACCTGCTGCATGCGCCTCCGCTGCGGC